CAATTTCTTTTGCATAAATGATTAATAGCTAATTTAAAGGCGAGACACTCTTTATTGATTAACTTATGAAACTCATTTAAGTAAAAAGTATCAAAATCAGCAAAAAAACCTTAATTGTTTCTATGTGTAAATCACTGAAACCTAATAGCATATTTGATATACGCTTTTGAGTGTTTTCTTTGAATTTTCCATATCTTTGAAGAAGCTACTGTACTTTAGCATATGGTTTCTAATATGTTATTTAAATGTGTTATTATACATGTTTTAGCCTACAGAATCAGATATTATATTTATGTTTAAATATTTCATAAACACCAATTTTTAAACTCTAAAATTGGTAATGAAATAAATCAAGTTTCATATTCTGGACAAAACCATACTATTCATTGCATTGTTGGAATATTAAAAAAACAATTATTGGAATATAATAAACAAATTTGACAGTGTAGCCATAAAATACATATTAAATTTACACAGCTGTTTTGTGATGATTATGCAAAGTGCACTCCAAGCCAAGCTTTAAGAATAAGCACATTTGAATATCTAATCAAATGAGATTTAAGTACACAACTTGTACATTACATGGGCAGGTCGAGTGGCTAGGCAGGGGCATCACAGCCTCTAGACGTAAAATAATCCAATTCAACTGCACAGGCGCATATCAAAATCAACAGACCTTTCCCAAATGTTAATCAAACTAAACAACCGACTAATCATAACAGCGCTAGGAATACGCAAACACACGTGTTGTTCCACAATCGCATGTTTTAACATTTTCATCTTGTGGGACCTTAACAAGAATATCCAAGGGGCGGGACTTAGCAAATAGATCCATTGACAAACACCATACATACACACAACATTGGTTAATGTTGATTGACCTCTATTGACCTTCGATACGAGCAGGCGCGGCGGTTTCGAAACCTCCTTGTTGGTTTGTTTTGGTAGTTTTCTTGGATAAGCATTCAATTCACTTCTCGCTCTGCCGCTGTTGTGAGAAAAAATGGGCTACCAAGTTTTTTTCAGAAGCATGATATGCATCAGTGTATGATACAAACCATTATTTGTTGCATTCCTCAATTTCCTCGATTTCGATAAACAAACAACTTAGCTCCCTTTTATTTTCAGACTTACATGTTCCAAAAATGAATGAATGCCACAGTATGATAAATACAGAATTTATTAACAAATAAGATTAAGTATATTAATAATTAAAATTTTAAATTTGCTAATATTAAAAAATTTTTATTTCTTAAAACTACCAATTATCAAATATAAAAATAAACATACAAATTCTAAATATGAAAATCTCTGGCTGTGAAACCATTAATGGGTGAGGTTTGGTGGGGTTCCATTAAAAATGATTTTAAGCTATAATGAAAATTACATGACAAAATTTAGCTGTAAAAGCCATCAATGGTCAAGGACACATTTGCATATAAATTACGTAGCATATCACATATAAATATTCATCTGATAATTCAGAATATGTATGATAATATAATATACAGAAAAAAACTCAAAAAACACAAAATAAATCTGACCTACTTATTATTTTCAACCTTAATGCTTTGCTTTTTAATTTAATTTTAATGCTTTGTAGTATCAGAATAGCCTTCCTTTAAGGATATAACGCTGACATTTATTCCTATGAATGAATATTACTGTGTGGAAACAAATTAACTGATTAATTAAAATATATTAATTGCATAATTGCACATACCTTATACCAAATACAATGTGCTCTATTTTGTAATATTGTACAGTGTATAACCATGGACCTATTAATAGGTCCATGATATAACTTATCACAGGATAAATAAATTAGATAATATCATCCGTAATGCTTCATAAATACTATATTATTTCAAACACAAAACCATAGACTGTAAAATGTTGCCACTTTTTGTTACGATTCCATATTAGTATTTAATACAAACTTTATATATGGTAGTTATTATATATAGTACTGTTTTTCATATACAATTTTAAAACATGTATATGATGTATTACAATAATATTTGTTCTATCTGGTCAAATATCAATTTGTAAGTCCAATTAAACAAATCACAAATGAGCACAAACAACGGAATTTGAATTTAATACCAGCCAATAATATTTATTTGCATATGACATATGGAAATGTCTATGGTATTCATACGTCTACAAATATGCACACGTGTTGAATACTTATATATCAGCAGGTGTGGTTATATGTCTATAAAACGTATAAAACTCCATTCACAAATGCTAACTGCTTGCAATGGGGCAATTCTATTGCAGGGATTTTATCTACAGACATGGTTTTTTTTTTTTTTTTTTTTTTTTTTGTAAGAAAGATGACCCAGTAATGACAATCTCTAGCAGTTAACCAAATATTACTCAGTATATATCTTGAATACTTGATCACATCACAAAATTCCTCATTCATCTCTCCATGTAAAGTCGACATGATACTTAATACCTCTTAACCGGAAAAAAAATTTACTTGAAGACTGCAGACTAATTTAAGACTCAATGAACGGAAACGTAGTCATGTTTCTGAAAGTATCATCCCAACCCCGAGTTACGCCAGGCAAAAGGTCACGGCTGCGTAATGAGTTCCGACCGAAGCGAGGAACGTTTTTGGAGTAACATGCCGGTAATTAGAAAGGGAAGCATGTAATTAGAATACTTCATGGTTATAGTGGACTACATGCACACGAATTGTCCAACGTCAGCTATGATTGAGTACTCCGAGCGGTAGTAATATATGCAACTTCTAACAATTTACACTGGTAATCGCTAACGAGCAATTTCCAACTATCAATAAACTTCCAAGTAATAACTTCTGACAAGTTCTGTTAGTTCTTCTTTCTAAACAACTGAAGATAGTAATATTCAAAAAAGGACCTACACAGCGAAGGCTTTGGATAACCAATACCTATTCTTTATCTGTGATCTATTACAAGGAACATAACCTTATGATTGAGGAGAAACACCCTCGGGCTTCTATTTATTTACATTGCTGTAACAAGTCTAATGCTTCTCCACTGCCTTTGGCAAGTCGTGAACGCTGATTTTTTTCCTTCTTCATGATTTGCATTGAAATTGACATAAGCAACATTTTGAACAAGTGACAAACGAGCGTATTTCTAGATCTTTAAAACCCATGAGTAACATTACAACTCTGTCATCGTGTAGTCCTCCAGCTTTGCCTTAGTAAATAAACCGCTAAAGCAATCTTTAATGATGAGAGGTAACACTAATGCATACGGAAGGTTTTCCTGAATAAACGATATCTATCGATCTATATAGCGGTTTCAGGGATTCCTCAAAGATGTTTTATTAAACTTGTCACAGATACGTGACATCAAAATAAAATTATCTCGTAAGATTTAAAATGAAGCTGCCTCAGCTCCCCCTATTTAAATATTACACAATTTCAAATATTATATGCAAATCTTCTACACATGTTTTATGTAGTGGTTATATATCATATTTTTTCCATCATTTTAATTATATTTTAAATGTGAACAGATTTTGCCCAAAGGGCCACTGAATAATTTCAGATAAGAAAGTATAATACACACTCGAAGCATAGACAAGCTGGCGTGTATCTCCACAATTGGAGTAAACATACTCTCTAAGAGCTTTTATGGCATGCTTTTTTTTAATTGGGATATTATATTATTGCATGAAAATATCAAAAGACCTTTCCGCACTTAACATTCAATTCACCTTCTTAACCAATCTGTTCATAAATATGTCAAAAAGCAATATCAGAATGAAATTGTTTAAACCGGAAATGAAATAAAACATTATGTAGTGGTATAGAAAGAGATTAAATGCAAGCATAGTTCTCATTAGAAATTGCAATAACTGGAATTAAAATGAGTAAATCCAAATATATGACATGATCATATGACGATGCGAATCAGGAAAATGTTGCCAAGAAATGGTCTTGGGAATGTCATTAACTACTAGAGATTTTGTAAACAGATCACGTCAATAACGAAGAAAGCGGCTACCACAACGGTAATAGTATCATCGTAGCTAACTGTTATTATAACAATCTGTCTCGAAAAGTGCAAAAAATAACAGCAAAACAAAATACAAAGCACAAAAAATCCGGGGTGGATGCAGGATTTGGCGGTAGGGGGTGTGTGAGAGTCCACACTACCTCAGTCCCACGATGGTTGGGGCTAAGGTGAGATCATTTTGAGAATATGGACAAGGAAATTACACTCTCATACCTTAAAAATCTTTACTGGTAATTCATATCAACAATACAACAATTGTTTTTCTTAATACAATTTAGGGGATGCACCTTCTGCACCACCCTGTATCCACCCCAGCTCATCTCGCTTTAGAAAATCCTTTAACCCTAAATCAATTATGGTTTCAGTGATAAAGTATATCTTAAGTACAGTGCTGTGCAATCTAAACATGTGTATTTAATTTTATTGTTCATCCTTTGTTAACACAATTATTCACTCTCACTGCCATTACCTCTAGCCATCTCACCTACTGTAGCCTATTGTTTCTAACATTTTTGCCTCACTTCTAACGACAGTTAAATTTGCCTAAGTCGATCTTATTTTACATACTAAATTTTTGCGTTTTCCATTAAATTAACAATCTTAAGTCCAATTTTATCTAAGTCGAACAATATTTCAATGGCATTTTGGATTTGACTTAGGCAAGTTCAACTGTATTTACTCTCTGGCTCTTTTTAGCCTCACTTACTCGCCACTGAGGAAGGACTAGTGTTGTTCGAAAGCTCTGGTTCTATTTCTGGGTGTTCACTTTTTACTTGTTGCTTATCAAATTTGTATCTCCACTGAGATACAACCACTGTTTCCAATAGTCTTGTTGTATTTTGCTTTTTAATCTTTATTATGTATTAATTTTATGTATTTTTGTACCTAATATTTTTTTTTATATTTTGGTCATTTATGCAAGTGTAAAACAAATTTCTGTAATCTCAGACAATTAAGCATCTCATGTGACCCTCTTACCTGATGTGTTAATGTCTCCCTGTACTTCAGTTCAGATGCTGCTTCCACCTTGCCACTCTTCTCAAGGCCTTCAACTACACATGTCACTAAGTCAGTAAACTGTTTCTGGTTGCCATAGCAATGTCTCGTCATCGGTGAGCACAACGCTAATGCGCCGTTAATTCGTACCTGTGAAGACATTATTACTAGTAGAATTTCATCATCAAAATTATGAATGTTCATATTTTGCTGCATTAAACGGTTATAACTCGATTGCTGAGTAGTACAATTTTAGAAAACGGTAAAAGAATATCAAAACATGTGTAATGAAATCGTGTACAGAAAAAGCTGTTTTTGAGATGCTGCTTTACTGTGAAGCTATTTAGCGATTACGCTGCAATAACCCTAAAGGCTGGTATACTGGCTTTGCGGGTCAGGTGACGTTATTGGGGGTAACCACCTGACCAGTTTGAGTAATATGATGTAATTTTGTGACATCATCATTGCCAAGTCGTTCTGACAGCCTCGTACGTGTTGATTTTTTTGAAAAAACAAATTTATATTGAGTAATTTGACAATATACAGTATGCCAACATGCTTTACGATTGATACTTTATGACTCCCAAGAAAATATTGATGATGACGATTATCCAGGAAGTGATTTGGAAAGCGAAAGTGAGGTACACAGTGTAGTTTCTAGCCCTAGGCTAGGCCGATCACGATAGTGCTAGTGCCAGCAGTGGTACTGATGATAGTTGTGCGTCGGGTTGATGGATGGCTATGGTAGCGGTACAGGGCCTAGAAGGTGGTGGTGATGATTGTAATAAAAAAAAAAGCATATTTTGTCGAAATAACTCAGGGTGAGGGTGCCGCAAGATGTAAATAATGCAGGGTTCAAAGAGTTAAAGAGAGGTTTTATATTAACAAGGGGGTTGCAAATAAATGATATTTTGTGAACAGGAGTTGTGAGAAAGTGTTACTTCACTTGCAAGCAAGTTATGTTAGATGTTCAGGTTAAATTCTATGCAAGGAGGGGGATATAGGCATGGGTGGTATGGAGAGGGCTACAGGAGTGTGTTTTTGGTAAAGGTTGCATTGTATGAAAAGAGGGGGGGTTAGGTAATGGGGTGTTGTGTTTAGGCATGAGTATGGGTGAAGTGTCATGCAAATAGGTGATGTAGTGCTGAGGGTTGTGCAACAAGCATGAATTTTCTGTCTTATACGCACAACACATAAAATTTTATGATTTTAAATCATGTTCGTCTTATGTGCGGATCGTCCGTAACATGTAAATTTCCTAACTGTTAGTATGAATAAACACAATTTTAAATGCGGAGAAATAAGATTTTGATGAACATTTAAAAGCCCATAAAAATGGTATTGTTTGGAAGATTAGTCCTACATTTGGCTTGTTTTTTTTTAAACCAGGTAGATGCAGTATCAAGACTATAAAGGACAGCAAAATCTAGGAATTATCACAGTGAAATGGGTGGTGGGTGGGGTACACCCCACACACAAAATTCATCCAAAAATCATCTCAATCGAGGATACTGTATATGGTAATGTTTTTTTTTTTTCTGACCCCATTATTCTTAAAACAAATTTCAGTCGTAGTTCGAGCTAATGAAACGTCATTTCGTATGAAAACGAACTTTAGCACTACGACTAAATGACGCGAACCTCGACCAAAATGATAACTCCGCAGGTGTTTTTCTAACTCACGATAAAGTGAAACGAATAAAAACGATTGTATACACAGGTTTGATATATCTTCGGTGTGTTAAACAACAGAGACATCAAGTTTAACTTCCAAAAAGAGAAATTAACATGTTTTGCTAGCCACATGCGATATATTTGCACGAAATCCCCTCGCGTTGCGATCACCTACTGTAGCTTCACTATAACAACAACAAAGATGACGTCACCTTCGCTCGGGCTCAACTATATAGTTCTCCAAAGAAAGCAAAGTTTCAGTGACTGTTGGAATTCTTTATCGTAATATGTTAACAACTAATATAGTTATTATTATAGAAAATTAAGCGAATGATGGTCTATTGTGAATTATGAGGAAATACGTTTTTGAACCAAAGAAAGCAGCTTAATATTCATCCGCGTTACCGGATCTCTAAAATTTCGTCTGCCATTAAAGTTAGCCCTTTTCATTGGTTAGTTTGATAGTCGTGGCTTGCCAGTCGTCTTCTGTTTAACTAAAACTAGGACTTGATTTAGTCGTAGTTAAAACTTTGAATGTTTGTGAATACAAATTGAAGTTGGAAGTTGCAACTAGCACTAAATGAAGTTCTAGTTCAAAGTTCGACTAAAGTTTCTTTTAAGAATACGGGCGTCAGACTTACTTTAAAGTTTTTACAATCCAGTATAATGTTTGATATAGCTTTGTACAAATCATTAGTCCAAGAGGCAGAGCCAATGTCAAGGTGGGAGTTCTTGAAGGCATTGCTTATAGCATAACAGGCATTCCAGCGAACCTGTGAAACAAGTGAAATAAGTTGTGGTTATTTTTGCCGACATATGTATAATTTTCAAAAAAATATTACCACACTCATCAATGCCATAACAATGAACATCATTACCACTATTATCATCATAATATTGTCACTATCATTGTTATCATCATTATATTATCACCACACTATTATTTTCATTATCATCATATCACCATCACTATCATCATCATATTATCATCATCAACTACATCACCATTATCCCTATCATCACCAGATTTCATTATAGTAATTATAAGCATTTTACACGTTATCATCATTTTTAAATAATAATGTTGTATATATAGCACACATTGCACATTGCAATGTGTGCTATGAAATGGCAATTGGTTAGGATGATATGATCGATAATGTAAAAACACAAAATTGCAAGTAGATGACATCACGCATGACTGGTCACATTGAGAAGCTTATTGTGACTATTCCAGGCCAAGTCAAATGTTCCTTGAAGCTGCCACATGCGTAGCTTGCGGCAATTTTGAGATATGGTGCGAACAAGAAATGGGGAGAAATGTAGAATTAAAAAAAAGATCTCTGACAACAACAAGAGGCGATCTGTTCTGTGAAGCGGATCACCAATAATAATGATATAATAATAATAAAAATAATAATAATAATAATAACAATAATAATAATAATAATAACAATAACAATAACAATAATAATAATATTAATAATAATAATAATAATAATAATAAATAATATTAATAATAATAATAATAATTTCTTTTACCACCCCGACCTATATCTTTATTCTTCCCATTTTCTCTCATCTGCATAATCATCTTCATAAACCTTGGTATGGCATGATCACTCAGCATCCATCACTATGGCTGTCAGCGTACCTGTCGCAATGACACTTCCTCTCAAGCATTTCAGATGTGTGTAGATAAATCATCCTTACATCTGGCCCGTTGGCATGTTCCTCGTTTTAGTCATGTGACTCAAATATCCAAGGATTAACATAACTCACTTGCCACACTAATTCTTTCTCATCACATTTTCATACAGTTCCCAATAATGGCTGCTGTACTAAATATTCTGTACTCATATACAGCAACAAATGCGATCTAACTCTGCTCTTTTTACAGATTTGGCTTAACACACATGTTTGACAATATATAATCTTGTTTGATACATATAGGTTGGGTCAACACTGTATTATGTATTCAAGATTTGTATTGAAGTTGTCAATGAAAAAAAAGTATGGATTATATTTCTTTTCCAGAAGGCAGGAGAAAAATGCAACACTGTCCAAAATGCATATATAGTATCTAAAAACAGTGAAGTTTGGCTAATAACTGCAAAAACGAAGATGTATTTCTCGTTTGCAATTTGATCATCCTCTTTGAAGTTTTTTTACTTTTGAAAAATATTGGTAAATTTATTAATGTCTAAATATCCATATGTGGAGTTTATAAAAAAAACCAATTTTAGAGAAAAAAAAGAATCACAATGCTGTATATATTGAACATATTTTAAGTAAAGTGATACACCAATATTGAACAATTCATGAAGGAGATTGAACAATTCATGAAGGAGAAATTAGCAAACAAAACACCGCTGATTGAGATAACACATTTTCAACATGTACGTATAATAAACACCTCTGGTAATGGATACGCACCTTCATTGCACCGCTTCTGATGTTTTTAATTAGTGCATACATTGTTCGATCAACCAAGGAGGGAAAATTACCTTTTGCTGTGAGCAGAAGTGAAAAAAAAGAGCAATTTTTAAAATATAAATTAAAAAATGTTAAGCCAATAGAAAGATTACGTGCCATTGTTTAATCAATATCATTTAGGAATAAATTAATCTGTGATGAATCTAGAGAGAGTGTCTAGTATTTGAGGCAGGGGGAAGAAATTGTAGAGCAGTTATATGAAATATTGCTATGTGAACTATATTTTTTCTTATATAGAACTCCAGGCAGAATTCTTATGTTTTGGAATATATATTTTGTGCTCTGGACTCTTGGCTATGTAACAATGTATTAGTAATTTATTATCTCATGAACTTGTGCTTAAAGGCAAAGCATACTGTAGTGAATAATTTAATTACTATTCTTGCTTCATTATCATATTATCAATAAAATGTATTACAATAATTATAATCATAATATTATGTTAATAATCATTAAAATTTGTAATGTTTAATAATAATAATGATGATGATGATAATATATATTGAAACATAATATTAATAATAATCATAATAATCACAATCAAATAATCGAAATAATAATATAAATATAATATTTCTTAAGCCACGAAAATAAGAAAATTAATAATATAATATAAAAACATAATATATATATATTAATAATACTATGTAAATTATACTTATGTAAATTTCTTATCTTTTATCAATTAGATAAATAAAAAACAGGGATTTTACCTAGTGTTTGCCGGTTTATGAAGCGTATAAGATTTCCGAGCCCTCGAACAGAGTTCGACTTCACTTTATCATGGTCAGTCGAGCCTTTGATTGCTGCTTCAAAGAGTCTTTGCAACAGCAAGTCTGAGAATTCTTCTATAAATACAGAATCATCATTCTGCCTTTAAAAAAAAAAATCTATCACTCAGGACACTTTTGGTGAAAATTAATGCTCCACAAAGATGCCGAACTAATTTGTAGCATCTTTACATGATGTGCTGTGGTGTTTTGCAAAACAATAAATTCCAATCAAAACATTATACTTTAACAGTAACACACATTCAATATAGACAAAACACACCAAATTATCATGTAACTGTTTTGAATCAATGCTGTATTTAATGTTCATAAGTGGAACGCTAAATAACTCGCAGTGTGTGACGCAGGTTTTCACATTACTTTCTGCGTTAGTGAGAACATTTCTAAAAGCAGGTTTGATATTTTAATTTGGTTCGAGAAAAGATTCTATATATGTAACAAGGTTTTTATCTAATGGATTAAATAACAAGATTCAAGAATCAGGATTCATTTTATTTGGCCAAAACAGGAAAATAGGTCGAGTAGTGAGTATATTTAAAAGATAGTTAAACAGAGGAACATGAAATATGTCTTTATGTAAACTTTGTGGATATATTTAATTTTCTTTTATTTATTTAAAAATTCACACTTATTATTTCAAAAAAAATATATATTAAAGATGTTACATATAACCAAAGTAATTATGGTTAAAAGGTAAAGAAAATTTCTATCAGATGGCTACGGAAATTCATAACATAAAAAAAGAAATAAAAAGGAGAAAGACAGGATGCCACATACTCCACAACAAGCTAATATTCAATAAAAATTCATGTATCAGTCTATGGCCAAGCATTTGTAAACAAAAATCGTAAGAACTGCCTCTCTAGATTTGATGCTGATTTTTTTATCAGCAAAGTGAATAGAATCTAAAAATAATTTTATTGTTGTTATCAACACAATGTCAAAGAAAAAAATTGAATTGTGTAAAAAAAACTAAAAAGAACTGGCATTATATTTACTAAAATTGAAACCTACTTATTGATAATAAGTGCATCACTCAAGTTACCCAGCGACCAGGCTGCTTTCATTCTAACATTTATGAACGAATCTTCCAATGCACTTAGGACAGCATTAGCCGAGTCGGCTACAAACATAACATCCTGTAAAACAACGCACAGAGATGAGTATCATCAAAATAAAAGCTTATTGAATTTCAAGATCCTTTGCTTTGATAATCATCAAATTCAAAAGCACTTTGTGCACTAATTCATAATAAACTGTTTGATAACCATCTTATTAAGGCAGATTATAAAATGAAATTTACTACCACAATATAAATTTTTACAAATTATGATATGTATTGACGTAGAATATTAGTACATGAAAACTCCAAGATTTTCATCATGTTAAAAAATAAAACCCTCATGAATATCTGACCAACTCTAGCAAAAACAGACTGTCTTGAAAAATGAGATTACAGATTACTAATTAATTATAGAGACCAAAATTGCTAAGACCATGGAAACCAGACTGCAATAAGAGGAAAGGGAGACCTGTATTAGATCTTTGTAATCTAGAGGTCAAAAGCTATAATTTATGCAAAAATTGTTAAAATCGGATAACAAACAGCAAAGATATGATAATTTATATTTTTGGTCCACCATGAAGATGGTCAATACATTTTCGCTAATTTGAAGACTTCTGTTTTTGAAGACAAAGCATCTGGTTTTGCCAGAGTCAGACATGTATTGCTATTGGCTATTAAATTCCTTGTACTTGTGCCCAAAAGTGTGAGTTTGTAAGGTGATTATCTTAACTACCATCCAACACTTTCATTCTTTCTCGATAAAGGCAAAATATGAATTATCTTAAGTAAAAAAAAAAATATTATGAGTCATTCTGTGATTAATGTGATGAAAATGAATCACTCTGTTTTTCGTGGAATAAAATTGAATCATCGTGTTTATGTGGGATACAAATTAATAATCCTGTTATTAATAGCATTAAATGACACAAACAATGTTTAAGCTCCTACTAAAAAAAAGATACAAAAATGAAACTTAAAAAAAAAAAAAAAAAATCAAAATTACTACTTATTTAAATGGAGTTGAATAGCTCAGTGGTTAAGATGCTTGCCTTCTGATCCCAGGATCCTGGGTTCAATCCCTGTCACGGCAGGAATTTTTCTCACGACTCAAAACAACCCCACTCCTTAAGCATCATAAAGAGGCTTAGTTTATAAAGAATCATTCTCATCCTGCAAGTGATGAGTGTACTTGCTGTTGAATGTGAGAGAAATATAAAAAAAAAAAAAAAAAAAAAAAAAAATGTAAAAAAAAAAAAAAAAAAAAAAAAAAAAAAAAATGTCTATCATTTATGTTTTAAAGACGTATATTTTGATGTGATATAGAAATTAACACGTTCGCTGCCGGGAAGCGAGTTCACATCCAGCAAGTTTTACTCAGGGTGCAAGATGTGAGTTCCCGTCCACACCTGCCTAAACATACAGTACCACTATCTATTGTATTGTACGTTAACTCGCTGAGAGTGATTGGTAGCATGTGTAGTCTCGTTAATGGGAATGATTTTCAGTATAGTGGCGCCCTTTACGCCTTGGCATACACGATGAAACTAGAAAAAAAAGGCTTGTCAGTCAACATGTTAAGGATGAAAATAAAAATGACAAAGAATACATTATAAATAAAAGAATTAGAATTGACTCACTTCTCGAAGGCATGGGTAGAGAATATACACCCCCAGGGCCCGGATGGCTGACGCTTTGACGCGGTGGTCTTCATCATTAGACAAGCCAAGTAACAAGGTCACACAAAGTATCCTCTTGTCCAACTGAAATTATATAAATATTCTTTTATTATCATCTGAAGAGATTTAAGAAGAAAATATTAAGGATATACAACATATGATGATGATGGTGATGATGATGATGATGACGATGATGATGAAGTTGATGATGATGACGTTGATAATGACGATGATTATGTTGGTGATGGCAATGGTAATGACGATGATAGTGATAAGATAATGATAGATGATAATGACGATGGTGGTACATATAATGTAAAGATACAAGAATACGAATGCATAACAATAAAATTAAAATTAAAACCACAATAACAATAAGGTTATACAACAAGAATCTTAACTGTTTAATAATAAATAGTACAATATTCTTATATTCAAAAGAACATGTTTTTAAAATAAATCTAATAATTGTTAGAACCCCCTTTTCTAAGGCAAAAGAGACTTGAAAATTCTTGCCAAGAGACCAGGGCCCATAGGGGCAGGAGCTTATCCCCAGTTCCTGTAGCATTACGCGCATGAGAATGTGATACTCCTTCCTGGGTGGGACACTAGTCCACCGCAGGTTACTCCTAGCAGTTTGTTGGTACCCGTTAATATATAAGGTAGACTGAAGCAATATACTGTAGAAAGTGCCTGGGTTCAAAGAAAAATCAAAATGCACAGCAAGGGATTGAAACCCTGACCTTTAGGTTGGGAAAACCAAACCATTTCTTCTGTGCCCAAACCTTTTCGAAAACATGAACTATCTTTGAACTGTTCAAAATGAAACTTACTATTAAGTAATAATTTTATTCAAGGAATAAATATATTATGTATATTTTATTAACATACTTATGACAATCAATCTTAATTATAAGTTAAAATATGCAGGGTATCTAGGGTATCGTAATGAAGGCAGTGAATATATAAATATATTTACATACAATGCTACACTCACACAAACACAGCTTTACAAAGTTCAAAACTATATGGGGCTTGCCATGTCAAACCAACGTCAGTGGCCAAAACAAGAAAATTTACTTCTTTGATATATTCACATTCTCCACGTTAAAGACGTATTGTCCCCATGCTAAATATTTAAAAAATCATAAAAATATTTTTTGAAATTAACTTGCCCATTTTGAAGTAACATAAAAGTTTTGCCCATTTTGAAGTAACATAAAAGTTATCAACTTGAACATAGAAATTAGTGTTTCTAAAAATGTCTTCTTATCAGTTTACAGTGAAAAATGATAGAAACACTTCCAGTCACTGGAAGTGTTTTATTATTTTTAATTATAATTTGTTGGTTTAAAAATCAGGGCACACATTTTTTTAATTCAATAATTTCTATGCACAAATTAGTAATTTGTATGTTACTGCAAAATGAGCAAGTTTATTTCAAACTTATTTTTTTATGATTTTTTGACATTAGCAAGGGACAGTACATCTTTAAAGCATTTCAAAATAATGGGTCATTTACTTGAATCGACTTTAGTGTTGCCATTATAAGTAAAAGTAATTACAGCTTCTCTGTACCACAATACTCCCACATTTTGATCCTAATTATTCAGTATAACATTTAACGACAGTATGCTTGTTATGTAATGGCAGGCCCCATGTGAAATTACAATCTTAAAACAATGAATATAACATATAGTGCAATATAATAATTTTGCTTATTTAAATTATCACCCCATGTCATTGAATAAATCTCCTATGAAACACATTTTGAGCTCCTTTATGGAGGACCATTTTATAAGCAGCTAGAATCAGCAGTTGGCACGGGATCATACCAGGTACAAAATTACCACGCCTCACACACTTGGCGCATTTGATTTCAAGCTTTCATGCCCACAAAACATATATCACATCCTACTTTCAGCCCGATGTCAGATTGATAACTCCACTCCACAAGTTTCATTATTAGACTTAGTTATTAAAAGCATAATTAGGCCCTGTGGGGGGAACAGTAGATATCTACTAAACAGGAAACCAGTATAATGATGAAAAATTATCTATAAAGTTTCCCGTTAAAACATCATCTGCGATTTGCTTTAAGTTATATACAGTATGGACAAGATCATGTCACAGCACATGGGAACAACACGGGTATTTTCCACAAAAAACTTCGAAAGTGTGGACTTCTAATGTTGCTCTGTTTAAAACCTGATGGACTTGTGTTGTTTTCGTTCCTTGATCTTAAAAATAGGTCAAAAATGTCCTATTTAACGTTCAGTTTAAATGGTTTATTAGGGTTCATTGATTTAAGAAATTCCTTAATTGTTCACACTTAATATTGAATTTGAAGTAACTTTCTTCAGTTTATAATTAACCTTGTTTTACAAAAGTTTTAATTACAATTCAATTTCCATCGCGGTACTCGATATCTTCGCAGTGACGAAAAAAATGAGGAATTTTTTTTTTGCACACAAACCTAAAAAAATTAAACCAAGCATCCACTACTAAAAAATTATTGGGCTGTGGCGATAGGCAAATAACATTGGGAATTGCAGTGATGACGTCACGATCGACTTATAAATAAATCTTAATCGACAAAAACATGTGATATGCCTAAATATGGTCATGATGACATCAAATCATGACCATATACATAAGCACATCATGACTATATATGGGCATACAACAGTTTTTTTGTCAAATCAAATTTAATAGTCTGGGAAGCGCAGGTGTGGATTAACAGAGGAACACGGGGAGTACATGTCTGCAGCGTACTTACCGGAAGCAGTTCGAATGCACAAGGCCCGATGGTTGACAAGCAGTCACATGCAAACGCTTGGAGGACGAGTGTACGCGGGTGCTGAAGAATTACAGGCAATGGACCATTCAGCAAACTTAACCACAATGTAACAACCTGAAAAAGAAGACATTTTTTTATACTTTGTTTTGCAAACCCACCACCTGCCAATATTAAGTACGTTGAATAAAAATAAAATATTCTATTATGACAACCGCAGGCGTGTGAATTGAAAAATCTAGGAAAAAATAGTTTTTTCGCAGGCATCAATCAATCAATCATTCCATTTATATGGTGCCATTCCAACAGTCCTTGTATGACGTCTGCTGGTAAATATTTTTACTTTTAATTAAATCGATATTAAGCAATATGTATCAGTCTACTGAACAATTGTAAAATACCAATGTAATGAGATTTCAGGCATGGGTATAAAGGGTGCCCTCAACTACTTTTTAAACTGTTGCATTTCTCTATTTCTATTCTTCAATAAAATTTCATTTTTCTTTTCTCCTCCACCTAGATGCATTTCTCTATTTCTATTCTTCAATAAAATTTCATTTTTCTTTTCTCCTCCACCTAGATGCTTATGGTAAAGCCATTTGCAAAACTGAGAAACTAACACTGTATTTTTAGTATTATTCTTTTTTTTACTAATCTGAAAGTCATTCAAAATCAAGCTTGTTAAAAGGTATAAAAATAGTCTCACCCAAACTGTATAAACAAATATAAAAAGGAATAAAAAAAACAACTTCTTTATATTTTCTTGTAAGAATGTAGGTGAATTATTCACTCTTACGTCTCCGTAGTAAATTACATCATTCTTCAAGACATTGTTGAATTTCTGTTCCATGACAACTTTAATGTCATTTGAATTAAAATAAAATTTATTGGTCAAATACATAATTTTTTTTTCCCAATTACAGAAGTTTGGTACTTGTCAGAGACTCATATATGACCTATTTATCATGAGCATACACGCAAGAAAGGCTATAAAGGCCAACAATACAGTGAAACTCAGAAATGGTATGTGATTTGCCAATTGAGCAAGTGCTTCTGATTATTAACAACTGTGATATCTACATTTAAAAAAAATTCTCAACATAATAATCACTTTTGATTGCCTACATTTCTCTGTTGTTAATGTTAATTTACATTGCATTGTTATAATTCATAGACCTATGCTATGGTTCAGTTCAACCACTGTTGTTGTGGAATGATGTGAACTAAGAGCCGTTAAGGTAGGCTATTAAAGTAGTCATGGACCACGGCCATATGCAATTCAACTATTATGACACTGCGAATCATGGGTTATTCCAACTTTATCCTCTTTATTTAACACAGTAAGGATACGCTATAAATGTATTATACTAATGATTTATATTTTAGTGGAAATCTCAATGTTTTTTTTTTATGTAATATAATAATTATTAATATCTTTTTTCTTAAAGGAAATCGTTTTCGGAAGTTTTCAGGTATTAGACTACAACTTGAAAGATAGATTCCAGAAGAAAAAAAACGATGTACAAACTGATTTTTCTAAAATACAAAAGTGGTTTTTGAAAAAAAAACTGGGGAAAAAAGGTATGGTATTTTAATAACCAAAAATCTGTATCTCATTAATCATTCCTGAGATTTTTGTCAACACTTTTTCTGTGTTTTATAAAAATCACTCTTTTCCTCCAGAGCCTGGTTTGAATATAAAAAAAACCTAAGTTTTGAACTTGAATGTCAAGAAGATTTAATACCAAATATAAAGTGAAAGATGCAATACCTCATCAACATTTATGGGAGGGTGAATTGCTTGAAGTCGTCCTCCTACACTACTATCAGGATTCAGCTGGTAAAGTAAAGCTTTGCCAAATTCTTCTAACACCTACAAAATAATTAAAATAATCATAATAATTGTAATAACCGTAATACACACAATAACGTTAATATTGATTTATAATATATGTTGTTGGTGAGGCAGAACAATGGTATGACAATTTGTGGGATAGAGTGGAATAAAGGTGGCGAGAATGCCTAACAGATGACAAGACAAGTGAAATATGATTCTATATTTTGTATGGGGAAAATAACTTGAATTGACTAAGGCTGGGCCAGGGGGAACCTACAGTAGGTCTTTTGTGAGGGCTAGAGGCAAGCACATATAAGTGGATCAAGCATACTAGTGGTACAAATGATTTTGATTGGAAATAGGGACCATGTTTTAAATACAGATTGATTTTTTTTTTCTTTTTTGACTGACCAAATAGACATGTAGGTTTTTTTTTTAAATTTCCCCCACTGGTGAGACAGGTAGTGAGGATGGTGGTAAAAAAAGTTGTGAAATATGGAACGACAGGTGGTTGTGATTAGACATTTTCAATAAACACCTATCTTAATTAAACGCAATAAAACAAACATTTCTAAAAATTATGCAAGTGGCCTGGTGCTTGCTAATACAGTATGTATACTCTACTTCTGATAATTTGTTATACATTTCCAATTTCAATTTGAAAAAGGACAAAAAAAAAATTATATATTACATATTTTTTGGTTCATTAAAAGAACATAGCTAATAGATAGCAACAGAAGCTCAAAATTAGCTCAGAAGTCAAATAAAAAAAAATCTGTCAAAAGCAATAAAAATTCTGATGAAGTATTACAAGAAATATCATATTTTACGACAGAAAAAAAATGAAAATCAGGAAATATTTGTTGCTATATATCACAGTTGCTCTGTGCTCTGAGACCGGTAAAACTATAATAACATTAATAAAATCTCCTTTTTTTCACAAATATAGGCTAGTAGCATACAAACATGCAGTTGGATATGTATTTATACAATCATGCATTAAATGAGTAATTACGTCGCCATGTCACAATACCCCATAATTACTGAGCAACAACAGTACCTGCCAAGTGGTTGTTACAGTTGAACGCCTCCACAGTTAGTCACAGTTTAACACACAAAACTTTAGCAGCATGGTTTATACTATGTACAGGGGCGGAGCCAGTAGGGATGCACAGGCAGGGGCATGCGCACCTCTCCCCCTCCCCTGTTTTGACATTAATTTAAAAATTTCAATGCATATTAGTGTTATGTTACTTATCTATTCTGAAACTGTTGTGTACCTGCATCCACACCACATCACCCTGTTGGAAATACTGTACTCTGGATCTGCCCCTGATACATATATTTGTCAGTGTAAATGTACAAGGAAATATAGAAACATCGCGGTGAAGTTAACTTTAATTGAAGTCACGTCAATTGAAAGGGTGCAAGCCGTAGCTTAGCTGTGAAACACTCAACTGTAACGACTGCTTGGATAGCATTGATATCATTAACCAGGTGGTTTCACATGGTGTTGTAATAACAACACAGAACTCACCAGGGAATGAGCAAAAGATGGCAGTAAAGAAAACAAAGTTATTTTGGTTTCTGATATCTATAGAGCTCCAGACAGTAAACCTGTATTTTTTTTTAGTATCAGTTGGTTTTATTTTATGTTCACTTCATTATTATATAATAAAGATGAACGATATATTATATAATATATTTCATCTATAATTATAGTAATAGCAACTGTTTAATTGGTATTATTTTATGTTCACTATGATAAAGATGAAATATATATTATATATTTAGTCTTTAATATATGATAATTAAGTGAACATAAAGACGAAGCCAACTGTTAGGGTATCAGTTGGTTTTTACTTCATGTAACCGCGAGTGTTATTCATAAAAATAAAAATCATAATGGTAACAATAATAATAATAATAATAATAATAACAATAATAATAATAATAATAATAATAATAATAATAATAATAATAATAATAATAACAGATATTACTAATAAAATAATAACCATAAAAATTAAAAACAATGTTAATAATTTAAATAAAATTTATTTAACCATCAAAACATTTACATAACATAAATACAAGGAAATGAAAAAAAAGAAATAAAATATAAAAAAATAAATAAAGCAATTATTATAGTCAGGTTCTGAGTGCACTGTTGGAAAATAAAACTCAAAGGAGCAACTATTTCCTGAAAAAAAACCCCAATATGTTAAGGCCCAGAGCCCTGAACGCAATTTTGTAGGAAATAACCAAAATAACAATAATTGCTTCAAGGTTCAATCACCTTGTTATCTCAATGGCCTATTTTTTAATCAAACTGTGGTAGTAGTGGTCAATTGTTGCTAGAGTGATATGACCAATATCCAATAATAATAAATAACATAATGATGTCATTATTAAGTTATAATAATATAGATTTCAAAAATTTAGAGGAGGGGGGATGGGTGGAATGGACTACAATAACATTACAGAGCTTTCAAGTAGAACAACTAGGAATGTAGAATGGATTCACTCATTTGTGACTGTCTTCGCGCATGTTTTAATTCTTTAAAACAATTTCAATTTTTTACAACTCATATGTGGATATATCACAAATGCAATGGCTGATTCACCAACGTTTAATACAGTACAGCGCTCTTTCTGGCCAACAACCGTTTCAGATTTCAGAAAATAACGTAACGCACAAATGTTCTACGTTTTACATCATCGCAAAATCGAAAGCTCCTTATTGTAGATTACCTTGAGACCATGAAGCTGCATTGATGGGTCCGGATCATCTATACAGCTTACAATTATGTGCGATATTGATTGTAGTACAGGTCGGACAACAGCGAAATAATTCTTAGCTAGTTGGACCAATACTTGCAAGGCCTCAAGCTTCACTGGTAATACCTCTCCTACTGCGGCACTTGTTGGGGTCAGTTGAAGCCTGTTATGTATGAAACAATTTTGATGTGAGTTTGCTTCGGGAAAATATCATAGGAGTGATGTTTTGCCCTACCTTACGTGCTATCGTACTGAATACTCATTACGTTCTTAAATAAAAATGTGCGGTACTGATTGTGGTACAGGGTCAAACAATGCTGAAATAAATAATACTTGGGGATCGAATTCAACACTAGCCACAAAGCGCAAGCTTGGTGGTCTTGTGGCTATAACACCAGACTAGCTATGTGGAGGTCGTGGGTTCAAGTCCCACAAGAATCACTTGGGATTGCTTTTTCGAAAATATTTTGAAACGTAAGCCTACTGGGTATTCAGTACGATAACATGTCAGGTAGGGCAAAAAATCACTCCTATGTATAAAACAAGTAATAAATACATAGTATAATAAAAATTATAATTATAAATTTGCATAAACTATAATAAAACAATAATAAAAAATTAAAAATATAATAAAAATATTGAACATTGTTTGGAATGCTGATGAATACAAATTTCGTGGATGGAACACAACATCAAAAATTCAATAAAAAAAAAAATTAATTGCTAATTTAAAAATGTTAAATAAATAAATAAAATGTTAATCAATAAAGATTTAAATATTTGGTTTTTTTCAGAGATTTACATACATATTAATACCAATGTTTTTGAATTAATTACTATACAACATAAAGGATTTATGAAAAAGAGCAAAAGAACACAATTACCTTCATTTATAAATCATACATGTAGATTTATATCTCAATTATATATACACATGTTTGTTATAAATAATTATATTCCAAAAATTTATCCACAAAAAAGGAAGATAAATCAATTGAAAGAAAATGATTCTAACACATATGTGAATTTCCTTCAAAAGAAATTCTGATACTATTAACTTGTCACCATCTTTGTGTATAGACAATTTAAGAGTACATACATACAACCTTTGATAATTTGATTAATACTAAGATCTATATAGCCGATGAAAAAAGTAATAAATTTCTCTGTCGAAAAATATAATAGTCTTTAGAAATCTGGAACTGGAGTGTGTCACTGAAAGTGCATTTACAATAAGACAGGAATAAATAAACAAAATCCCTCCAGTTATTAAACATCTAAAAATCAGCTCCACAAGTCAAGTAGAAAACATTCCACAGTTGAGCACACACAATTCACCACTCATTAATTTCAACTGTTCACTCGTTAAGAATGATTATCACCATCAATCAAACGGCCACAAACATTATAATTTTAATGGAATAAAGAAGCTGTGATTATCTTATAATATCGATCATGAAGTACCTGTTTATTAGTCCTGTGCAATCTGAATTGGTACTTGGGATTATAATCCCGCGACAAAATCTGATCACCCATGGCAACCTATCACTTGTTTCTGATTGGCTGCTAACTGTTGAATCCTGAACGGTTAGCCTCTGACCTCCATTAAGGTGGCTCTCTTGTACAAAACCTGATGATTCTGTGTGGCTTGCGTCTGAGTTGCTTACGGCTATGTTGTCACATTCTGGGGCAATAACTGCGGCTGCTGCTGCCATATTAGGAATGGTTCCGGAACCAGTGGATGTAGGCATCTCTTTAGCTTGGAGGAGTAGCGAGACCTCCGGGAGTGGTGGGTTAGCGGCAGCTATGATTGACCCAAGACAAGTCAGGCATGCTGTTCGAATGTTATTGTCTGAATTGTGAAAAGAAACAAAAGAATTCCCATTTGTAATACAAGAAATGTTTTTTCTGTAAAAACAATATAAAATGAATACAGTTATGAATTATGTTTTCTATTATAACTCCTACTAAAATAAAGTAAATAAAAACCGTAAATACAATAGTACACTAATAATACTACATTGTACACAATACAAATTGTGTCAAGCTCTCCAACAAAAGGAAAAGCTACTCTTCCCAATGGCCTCCTGGCCCACAGTTCTTTCCCTACTAGTGCCACCACTGCAAAATAAAGATCAATAGCTTTTTATTAGCTAGTATTTCTATAAATGAAGATTTAAAAAATTACAAAAAAATTTCAAGACATACAAAATTAGAGTAAGTCTAACATTCAGATATTAACAATTTGAAGCAGGCTTGCCTGGCTATGTGAACCACATACGACAGTTTATGACCACATAGTGGTTGTTATTGGTATTTTTAATATTTGGAATGTTACAAGTGTTGTTTTCATCTGGGGCGAGTGGGGGGAGGGGGGATGGAGGTCTACGACCCAAGGCCATATTGCTTGGCCGAAACACTTAAAAACACACTCATCGGTCAAAGGGCAAACTGACACCAAATTAAGCCTGCTCTAGACCAAATGTAGGCCTACCCTAGGCCTACAGTAGCACTCAGTACAAGATCTCAGGAGTCATAGTGTTCGATTCCCGGATCTGTCAAAGTGAAGCGTAACCTAGACAGACTACTATGAAGCCTGGCCTACTGTACGATGTAGTAGGCCTAGGCCTATTATTAGCCTACTACTACTAGACTAGCTAGGTTTGTTCCTTCCGACCGCCAATGAGGTTGGGACTAAGGCCTGGAGGAGGCTGTCACTAGGTGAATGATTGGCGCACTTCAGTATGTACCGTAGATACATCATTTATGCACAAGTAATTAGCGATACCTAGCAGCAACAATCGCAACTTGTGTATCGCGAAAACAATACAATCGTATCATGCTGTAGAGGATCCATTTCAACTTGAAAATAAAAATTGACGGACCACACGCGGTAGTAAATGGACAGCGTATATTTGAAAATCTTTAGCACTGTCTTCTATTTCTGTATTCTTGAATGAGGTTGGGGGTGTATAACATCACAATATACTGATTTAATGTTTACCCTAAAATGTTTTCAAGCAATATGGCACAAGTAAAGGAACAGTGACAAAAATCATAACAAACAAGTGTTTGGAAATGCATTTGCGAAATTGCCTGTTTGCGAACTATGAAGATGTAACATACACATACAGACACAGACACATACACACACACACACACTCACACACACACACACACACATACACCATGTTGATCACAAAGGTTATGAAGCAAAAAAGTGATGATGACAAAAATATAAGACCAACTGATGACGATGGTCACAATATAAGACCAAATAATGATGATCATGATCACAATGCAAGACCAATGACATTGACAACAATATAACACCAAATGATGAGGATAAGAATATACTGTAAGACCAAATGATGATGATGACAACGATGATGGTGAGAATATACATGTAAAACCAAATGATATGAAGAATATAAGACAAAATGGTGACAGTGATCATCACAATAAAAGACTAAATGATGTTAACAATATAATAAATGATTATAACACGTTTAAGATGACGATGATGATGATAACCAAATGATGATGATGACAATAAAATATGACCAAATGCTGATAACAATATAAGACTTTTATGATGATGATGATCACAATGTAAGAACAAGTGATATAACAATATAAGACCAAATTATCATAACAATATAAGACCAAATGATGATGATCATCACAATACTGTATAAGACCAAATGATGATAACAATAGTACATGGCCAAATGATGATAATGATGATGATGATCACAATACTGTATAAGACCAAATGATGATGATAACAATATATTATGGCCAAATGATGATGATAATAATGATGATGATGATCACATTTAAACCAAATGATGATGATAAAATTAAAAGACAAAATGATAATCACAATAACAGACCAAATGATGATTACATTTAGACCAACTGATGATGATCAAATTATAAGACAAAATGATAATCACAATAACAGAACAAATGATGATGATCAAATTATAAGACAAAATGATAATCACAATAACAGACCAAACGATGATCATAATAGCCCAAATGATGATGATCAAATTATAAGACAAATTGATAATCACAATAACAGACCAAATGATGATTACATTTAGATCAAATGTTGATGATGACAACAGTAGAGACCAACGGCTGATAATGATCAAGAAAATACCAAATGACGATCGTCACAATGTAAGACCAAGTGATATGATAACAATGTAAGATCAAGTGATATGATATGATAACAATACAAGATCTAATGATAATGTTAATGATAATAATATAAGACCAAATGATGATGATGATGATGATCACAATACAAGACCAAACGCTGATGTTAATGATTGTGACAATGTAAGACCAAGTGATACTGATAACAATCAAAGTCCATGATAATGATGATCACAATATAAGACCAAGATGATGACCACAATATAAGACAATGGTGATTATGATCACAAAGTCCATGACAATGAATATGATCACAATATAAAACCAGGAGGCTGACAGGAATAATGCTATGCAAAATATTATTTCATTTACAGTGTCTGAAGCACAAAGCAAAGCTAAAACAATGTCTTGTGAGTTCTAAAAGCAAACAATATTAGCACCAAATAGAAATATTAATGAAATAAATATTTGAGTTTAAAAGCAAGTACTATGATTATTACCATACTTCAGCATAAATATATACCATACATTACATCAAATATATTGAGCATAATATTTATATACTTCCCAGGTTCATACTCCTGTCTGCCACCAGATATACATAGATTATAACATAAGGAACAGCAGGAGAAATCAAACTCCGCTTCTAAATGAAACTTACCTTTGTTACTAAAAAATGGACGGATAGTCCTGACTATTCTGGTTAGTAATCCCTCTTTTAACTTCTTATATGGAACATTTTGAACAAGGATCGACAGGCACTGAAATAGAAAATAAACAAAAATGACACAAAAAAAGATAATTTATTGTCCAATAATATCATTCTTTGACAACAAAAATAAATTAAATTTACATGAAATTATATAGCAAATAAAAACAACGATAAAGAGAACATAGTAAAATAAAAAAAAAAAAGACACATAAACATCAACCAGGTTATTCTGAAATCTAAAGTTTTAAAAGAGACTTGATTATATCAGAACAGCAAAAGGGAAAAAAAATTTTAATTTATGAGTGAAGTAAAAATGGCTGGAAATTAGGTAAGAATGCAATATCGTATAGAAGGTTCCAGGGTCAACACTGCATTACTCAAAATCATAAAAAAAACAAAAAACAGAATGAAATAAAACATTTTCGATAAAAGTTGTCACAAAATGCTGAAAACAGTGGCCATTCATTGTAGACATTTGTTTCATAATATCTCCCTCTGCAACAGAGTGATTTATCTTATAACCTCTGCTAATTTCTCCCAAGTGAGTACTCCAAAGTTTAATTCGAGTCAAACTGAAAAAGCAATTTTCCGACATATGTCCATTTGGGATTTTCTAGAAACTTTGATGTGTTTTCAGGTTAAAAATGTTTTTCTTTTTTTTAAATATCTGGGGTAAACTTGCATATAAAATCTCATACTTTGATTATTTGTGTTATAGTCATGGAAGATGTCTCCGCAACGAGGGCTAATAGCAATGAACGGTGGATTTCTTTGATTGACATCGCCAGGATTCTGGAAAAGGGCGTGAATGCTGCATGTCGTATTTCTCTGGAATGAAACAAAAAATAAATACTAAAAATCAAATCTTCTGAGCCTCAAAATGAGACAATATTTACTGGTAAATGCTTGGGAACTTTCATTGAAACAGCATTGCAGTAACTGCTGCTAGTTGGCAATCGGTTTCAACAATATTCACTAACAAGTTTTGATGTCAATTTGTTATGACACCAAACTAATTATCTGAAGATCGTGGGTTCGATTCCAACACGAATCATTTGCAACTTTCTTCCGCAAATATTTAGAAAGGTACTGAGTATTATTCAGTACAATAACACGTCAGGTAGGGCAAAACATCAATCCTATGGTATTTTCCAGAGTTTCTACAGTTGGTGTATTTCTTCGAACAAACATTTTACAAGAGGAGGCCATGGACTAAAGAAAGTGCATGACTACAGAACAGGTGTGGTCATGCAATAACCGAGGGCATTTTAAAATTTTTACTTTTAGACAACCATGTTTGGGCTTGCCTGCAGATAACGTTTGGTGCTTGGGCATTTTTTTTAATGTATGTTAATATTCATACGGGAGGCATTTAAAATTTTCTCCAAACTTGTATGGTTTTTTTTAAAAGATCAACCTTTAACTTTAAAAATGATATTACCCAAGATTTTTTAGCCCTTCACGTTCACAATATGAGTGAAAAAACCATAAGATTAGTTAGGCCTATAGTATAAAAAAACATTTGAAAAGGTCACAGTGCTTGGACAAACCCACAATTGCTTGGGCCTAAAAAAATTGTATATTTCATATTATTTTTGAAGTCTTAATATTCGACTGTAGAATATCAACCTTTAACTTTAAAAATGATAGTACCCAAGATTTTTTAGCCCTTCATGCTCACAATCATGAGCGAAAAAACCCTAAGATTAGTTAGTCCTATAGTATAAAAAAAAACATTTGAAAAGGTCACCATGCTTGGACAATTCCATAAGTGCTTAGTCCTCAAGAAATTGTCTTATATGTAATAATTTTTATCACAGATAGATTCTTAGGCGCAGTTTCTTTGGTTCCCCCAATGCCATACTGAAAACTTTCTTAGCCAAAAAATTATACTCTAGAAGTTAAAAATCATTGGAAATCACATTTTTCTTAATGATACCCAATCACTTTCCCATCACCATCCCAATATGCCCCCACCCCACTCATTTTACATCAACGCCACTGTTGTTAGGTAGGTAATAACTTACCAGAACCATGTGTCTGTGATTTATCTGACTAAACTGCCTATATGTCTACTTGTCTGCCAACTGCCTGTAAATTTTGCCTGTCCATCTGTTTTTCTATCTACATATAATATGTTTTTTTTTGCACACTAAACTCTTTTATCAAAGCATTTTACCTGTCATCAGCAGCTGCTAAGAAATTTCTTGATCCTTCTAACATGGCAGACAGAACAACTACACCAGCAACTCTTGCCTACAAATAGAAATGGTCAGTGTGAGAATCAAACTTTCCACTAAACCCCGCTCCTTAATATTGTTGCTGAAGAGTCCCACGAAATGACAGTATAAAGTATAAAGATACGCAAACAAATATATATATATATATATATATGCGTTTTGCTCTCTGTATGCGTTTTGCTCTCAATGTTGATTATTATATCGTAATGACGTAATGATTATTATATCGTTATGACGCTCGCCTTGACAGCGAGAGGTCGCAGGTTCGAGTCCCGCCAGAGGCATTTTATTACACAATTTCTTTATTCATTTATTTACAGGACTACATTCGTTGAGAGCCTGTCTCTTATACACATCTAGATGTGTATAAGAGACAGATATATGTGTGTGTGTGTGTATGTGTGTGTGTGTGTGTAAAAATTTACCCAATATATGGGCCTTATAATATGATGGTGCTGTATATCATAAATTACGATATAATAATCAACATTGAGAGCAAAACGCATACAAATTATGATGTAGTGTTAAATTACAATTAAATAATAAGATATTAAGACATACATTTTCTTAGGAATGTCGGCGAAGGTTTTCTGACAGGTACTTTGCCTCATCCTTTTCAAATTACTTTCAAATATATTTGTATCCCCCACATTAAAAGCTTTACAATGACAGGTCAATTATTGAAATCGACTTATTATTGCCAAAGATATGTGTAAAAGTATTATGGCTTTCCCTGTACAGTACTAAAGTATACAATACTCCCATATTCTTATTGCTAATTAATCAGTTTAACAATTAACATCTCGACGAGATTTGATTGACAGATAAACCGACTAATCGAGAGCAGCTTAGCTCAGTCGGCTAATCTGCTGGTAGCCACTGTGTGTGCGCTGAACCGTGGAGATCTCTAGGTCCCCGGTTCAATTCCCATCGCTGCCTCTCCTTGTGTTTCAGGTAGAGGGCTGAAATACAAGTTACAATTAGCGCACCGTCTTTCAGATGAGACGTTTAAGCCGTTGGTCCCGTGTGCATTTATGGCCCATGTGCATGTTAAAGAACGCAGTACACTCTTCGGAAAAGAGTAGGGGATTGTCTCCCGGTGTACTGTCCAATCCCCACCAGAAGGACCCCACTGGAAATAAGTCTTCTTCTAGACTTTCGTGGGCTATCCTTGGTGTTTACACCGAATAAATCCAATCCAATCCAATCAGCAAGCGTCATTTAGTCGCGTGATCAAAAACTTTTTCTCGGACATTTTAATTTCCTTAGACAGCTGGTTTAAACACGAAACATACGTGAGCCTAGGCCTAGATGTCTATATGCTTGGTTACAGATACCCAGATTTACACAAGCAGTGCGCATCAGGGACTTGGCCTTTGCTGACAACAAGGTTGACTGAATGCAGCTTTTCCCTCTTCCTTTGGGAGCGAAATACAGAGGCTTTTACAACAATTTCTCAGCCATGTTCCATGAAATAGATTAACACTATGAATATATGATTCATTTGCATACCGCCTACCCTGAATTCTCTTTCTTAAAGAAGGTTGTTGATATCAAAGAAAATCTTCACCAACTCGGTAAGTCTAGACGCCATTGTCTAAGGTTTTCATGACTTTGTGGGCGGGGCCTCGCGTCCTTGTCGACATGTCAATTAGCGACAGTAAACTGTTTTTGGGATGGCAAGCCTCACATGAAGTTACATGTTTCCCATTACCAACCCTATATACCCTCTCTACTATGTTAAATCATATAGACACTTTCACTGATCATATACAGCACTGTTGTAAAGACCAGATCAACTTATAATTACTATACCTTGGGTGATGAATCCTTCAGGATGCTGGTGAAAAGTGTGTGGGAGGATGATCCTGGCCTCGGAGGGCTGTCTGGAATGAATGCTGACCAATACCCAAAGACAATTCGTTTCTCAGTATTCTATGAATTAATACAACCAAAATGTCTTCCAATCAGAATTAAGAAAAAAGTGCCTTGAAAAACATAAAACCTATTTTATCCTGTCAGTGGCCTATGAGTGCTACACTTTTGAATATAAAAAATTAAGGATACCTTCTCTTAAAGATGTATTGTCCCTTGAAAAATGATTTGCTCATTTTGGAGTAACATACAAATTATTAACTTAAGAATAGAAATTACTGAATCTCAAAAATGTGTACCCTGATTTTTAAACTGGATAATTTTACAACAAAAAAAATGAAACACTTCTAGTTACTAGAATTGTTTCTATCATTTTTCATCGTAAAACATTTTTAAATACACTACTTTCTATGTTGAAGTTGATCGTCTTTATGTTTACATCAAAATGATCAAGTAAATTTTTAAAAATCATTTTTATGATTTTTTGGGTATTTTGCATGGGACAGTACATCTTTAAAATCATATACATATAAATATGAAATTGCAGAAAAAAAAATTATGGTTGATAAAATTTCCTGCTGCCAAAATATCTCAAATGTTTTCATCAGAAATAATTGATAAAAGCTATTAAATATAAAGCAATTATCAATTATCAGATGTTTTTCATTGCCACATTACATTCATTCAAATGCTGTGATGTCAATTCAGGACTGAAAAGCACCACTTCTTACTTAAGCACTCACCATGTATTTATTCATCTTTAATTATTCTATAATTATTTTCTCATCTGCTTACAAGCTTTATGTAGAACCATTTTGCTAAATAAGATAAAATTCTATTTCAATTTTCCCCCTCCTTTGAAGAGCTTTTAATAAAAAATGTTACTAAACCAAAAAAAAAAAAAATTTAACAATTGTAGAAGCTTACAATCACATAATTATCATCTAATTAAGGCGTGTCGTGGCGAAATGGTTAAGTTGTCGCAAAATCCAGTATTGGGTAAATGAGCTTTAAAATATGGGAGCTCAAAAAAAATTGCCTAAAAATCCAAATTTGTTTTTCACTATAGATGAACAGCTTAATGTCTTATTAATCATGTCCCAAAGTATTAGTTCTGGAAGTGGTCAACAAATTGTTTATTTAATGTTATTTTGATAGTTCATTCTATTAAACAATGTATCCACAAATAACTTTGAAAGGCAATTACTCAAAATCATGTTTATCTTGACTCTAAAGAGTATGTACTTTCACTTTCCAATAACTTAGGCTTGAAATGTCCTATTTGAATAAATGAATGAACCCTCATTTTAAAGATCACATTCTCAGGTATTTGAAAATACCAAAAACTTGAATTTCAGTTTTTGCTACAACTTAGCCATTTTGCCACAACATGCCTCAATTAAGTTTTTATGTAGTTAAAAAAAAATTGCATTTACTTACTTTCATTACAGAATGCAAACATAATAGTGATGTTTGCCGAACTTTAGACATCATGGATCTTAATCTTGATGATTGCCCTCCCTCTGTATCTGAGTACTCAGACTCTGAACTGCTCACACGACTCCAGAGAGGCATGAGGGAGACTGCACTATTGATGGAAGAGCTTATAAAACCTGGATGCAGGCTAGAAGCTCCATTAGTAACTAGTTGGTCAGGTTCATCTTTGCTAGACATGTGGTCATTTGAAGCACTCGGGCGACTAGTACCAGGAGAAACATCCACTCTACTGGCAGTCGTACTTTCCTGTTTGGCACGGGATTTCTTTTTCGTCTTTTTTCCAGATTGTAAAGCTGAGCTTCTCAACCCTCCGCCTCCTCGACCACCAGGTCGTAAACAGACCTCATCCTTCACCTCTTCCTTTTTCTGTTGACTACTCGAGGGTGATGGCGGGGTTGGTTCTGATTGGAAATAGGGTGACGGGTATAGCGTTGACGGAACTGGTCCACTGATTCCAGGTAAACCAAATAACATATACACCTAAAAAATTTTGAAAATATATATAATACAAGTCTCTCACTAATGAAAGACCCCTCCAATTAAGGACCACCTCCAATTAAAGACCACTTTTCTGTAGTCCCAAATTAACAAATGTCTTTTATAGTAATATTCTAATTAGAGACCAAAGCTGATAAAGACCATAGAAACCCTGATCCCAAAAGTGGTCTTTACCTTGTGGGAGATATTGTTTTGTGAATTTAATGGGGTTTTTATGTGTGTACAAACCAGAAAAAGTAAAGCACAGAAAAAGTGGACTTTTAGTTAAAAAAAAAAAAAAAAATCTCAGACACCTAACTATGGAGATTGATTTGGTTTGGTTGTTCAAACCACTATTTGAGTGTACCTCTGACAGAGATTAGATAACTTTCCTACTCTCCACCTTTCATAATATACCATCGAAATGATGATGTGATATTCCATCTACATCCTAGAATTATTCAGCTCCAGGGCTTTACCTCCTTTTCCCTACCGGAGTTCTTTCCTTGGCCACGAAAGGCCCCCAACCAGGAAACATCCTTAATAGATGCCATACTCTCATAATAGGTAACTCCTCCCCTAAAAAAATTCTTGGTTACCCAACTTCTTTTTCAAGACTTTAAAGGTGAGCTACACAACTATACAGTAGCTTTTTTGTATACTCCCATCAACTGTGAAGTTTGAATTATATGTAATATTTACCTTTGCAGTAGCTAAAATATCTCCTAATCTTTCTAGTTGAATCTTCTTGTTAGATGTGAGTATAACTTGAATCCCTCTTAAAGCACCATACAGTATCTAAAAAAAAAGGAGGAATAAAATGTTAAGATAAAAAAAAAAAACAACAAGATTAGAACTAGAGAGGAATGGTGTGAAACAAGAAAAAAGAAATGAAACAGGGAGAAACATTAAGATGCAATGTATCATAATTATTTAGTTATATTATACCACCCTAAAAAGTCAAGGATAGGAGAAGGATGTAGTCCACGATTTTTGTGATTATCACACACAAAAATCTGGTTTGCAGGGGGCGGATCCAGTAGGGGAACTGGGGAAAGGGGCACATGCCCCTGTTTTGCCACAATTTTTTAAAATTTCAATGCATATCAATGTTATATGCTACTCACTTATCTATTCTGAAACTGTTGTGTGCCTAACACCCCCTGCCCCTCCCCCTCCCAACCCGTTCGAAAATTTCTGGATCAGACCTTTTGGTGGTACATTTGTGAATGTGCACATGTCTTTGCAAAGACATTGGCCCAAATCTAGTGGTTCCCTACCTGTTGCAGATACAAATTGACCTTTCCTGATAAAAAATGTGATGGAGACCAGTATAAAAATTGAAGACCTACAGTAAGCAATGCAATTGAATGAGAGGAAACGCTGGAACATTGAATAAATGAATGTTAATTATGAAACTGTACCGTACCCTACAATATTCTAATTCATCCGTTTTGGGTTCCTTTTGTGTCTTCAAAACTTGTAGAAGAATATTTAGACACTTTCTTAAGTAAGATTCATCGATTGCTTTATTATCAGAGTCTCTGAAAATAACGAAACAAACAATTAATCAAGTCTGATAAAAACTAATTTCATCCAGAACAAGTTGATGTAATTGGAATGCAAAAAAAAAAAAAAAAATTTCCTGATAAGTTAATCAATTTTTTCTGATTATTAGGAATACTCGAACTGAATTGGATGGCTGAGCATTTAAGACTGGTGCCGCAATGCACAGCCATAATATTAACGCTGTTTCGAACAGCACGCTCACATATGGTTCTGGTCGTGGAGTAAGTCTTCTCGGAAAACTGTAGACAATTTGGCTTAGAACCCTGTACAATTACATTTCAATGCTTTATATTAACAAAAGTTTCTTTTTGAGGTTTTGTGAATAGAGAGCTCATAACTATATATTACTTGTACTCCATAAACCAAATCCTATCCATATGAAGGCTTTTGAATGGAAAACTGATTATTTTGTAAACCTTGATGCTCTGCAACAAGTCTTTTTTGTAATGTTTTTGGCAGTGGAAATCTAATAATTTGAGACCCTCAAATACGGTACCTGTATTCTTTTTACTAGAAACGCCCAGGGAATTCCTAGTGAGAACAAAAATTAATTTGTTAGAAATAAGAATTGATGTGATAATAAACATAGCTCTGTAGGTGCAGCAATACCATGTAATAAATAAAATATACTGTACTGTAAAATTTGATTGATGAATGAAATATTTACATATTAGGAATTGAATTACATTATTAAAAGATAACACACTGAATATATTAAAACATTTTTAAAAATAACCATAGTAAAATATTCCATATAAAAAAATATAAAAATAGACATATAAATGCAATTAAAACTAGCACTAACATGACAAGATACATTAGCAATGAAGATAACACTACAGATATATTGTATGATGGTGTATTTAAACAGTGAATTTAATTATGTTAGAAATACACATTTTTATGTTTTATATTTTCTTCTTTTTGTGTGTTTATTGAATTATTCCGTAGTTTGCATTCATTGTTTATTTAAATTCTGGCATGCTTCTTACACACAACACCAAGTACCATTACTGCAAAACCTCGAATTGAAGCCATGGGCTTCTTTTTGAGATGGGCTACTTTTTGAGATGGGCTTCTTTTCGTGACTACTTTTGCAAAGTAAAGAGGGGGACTTATTTTCAAAAAGAATTCTGTAAATTGTTTGAAGTTGTACAATTAAACAATAAATAAGGTCAGTGTAACATCAATCTGTATTATGGAGTGTATTTAACTGGCATTAAATTGCCTAAATTAATGTATAAACCAAGCTTGTTTATAATTTATTTTGTTTTTGGAAATTCATGCTCAGTGTATGTACAGTACTATCTCGAAAAGAAGCATGCTATTTTGAAAAGAAACCCATGGGCTTTCTTTTTAGGATAATTTTGCAAACTAAAGAGGGAAGGCTTAAATTCGAGATGGGCTTCATCTCGAGATTAAGCCCACTGGACTTCAATTCAAGGTTTTATGGTACTTAATTAATGAATGAGAATAAAATTTAAAATATTAATGTTACTTACTGCATACATAGGTTTCCAATACAATGCAATACCAGTCTTTTCACCTCAGTGTCCGGAGACTCCAGCAATGTGATTAGCAACCCCTTGGGTTGGTCAAACAGGAGTTCATCAATAAACTGAAAAACAATCAGTGTGCAGAAGTATTAATAACACATACACATCAAAACATTCATTCATTCTGATTATTGATTTTAATTATTTAAACTAATTCTTCTCATTTCTTTAAAAATATCTTTATTTAATTAGTCTCATTCATCTTACTAATAGCTCTTCTACAGTATTTCCTTAAACTAAAGAGAGAATTTTATTTACAAAATTAAAGCAGTAAACAGCCCATCAGCTGTACCCAATTGTATACAACGGGCTTCCAAATGCCTTATACAGTAGCTATTTATAACGCACCAGATATAAATCTTTTGATTGGTGGATTTCATGACACCATTTAAGGGCAAAATAATTGCACATTTTTATTTGCATCACTTTTCATGCAAATGTAGGGCTATCCATGAATATTTGTTCCATTTGTTTGTCCCACTGCACGCCTCCACCTAATATAATGTTTTCATTTGTCGAAAGAAATGGACAGTTCCACTTAGAAGAAAAGTCAACCTAACTTGTTTTCCATAAAAAATATCAAATAACAACTAGAAATTGCAAATTGCAAGTGAAGTGCTGCGAAGTACAACTGCATAAAATGTTCTTCGAACAAAATTATTTATGGGAGTCAAGTGAAAATAATGAATAATAAAAATATAACAAATAATATGAGCACGACCCATTGTCTATATATTATTAGAACAGCGTTGGTACCGTGTACAATAGTGTTTTGCTGCAGTGACATCTCTCTGCTGGCGATGGCTCGCAGCTGCTGGCGATGACTCGCTGCTGGCGAATCGATCTGCGCATGTATATAAAATGGTATTTATTTCCGCAAACACTATGCCAGTCTACAACAAGCGTCGCCTAAATGTAATAATTAGCACGTTGAAATAGGCTAGTAAATAAGTTTAACTGGGTTCGTAAATAATATTCTAGATGTGTATAAGAGACAGCTACTAAGTGGGTTAAAATAAAGTTTTCATACAAATAGGGATTTAGTTCCGCATTGCTTTTCCATTAGCCAGGCTCTGACTTGATCCCTCTGATTTTTTTTTATGAGATACTAGTGAAACAATTATAAAAAAAATAAATAAATGGCCAGTAAACTAACAATAACTACCAGTCCATAAAAAAAAAAACAACAATCTTTATTTACATAACAACTGGAATGGAAAGTATTTAATAAAAAAAAAAATCTTCCACAGGGACAGTAAAAAAACTAATAATATAAGTCAACAAAATAAAAACAATTAAATATTGCCTAAAAAATTTAGTGTGATGCAATATTAAACAAGTTAAATAATAACAATAAAGAACATGATTAGTTTATCACCCTCACCTACATATCTACTATAGTATTGAAGAAAAAGAACATTTTGCATTTTATTTTTTCATATATTGTTTTTCTTTTTTTTAAATAATTATAGTATTGAAGAAAAAGAACATTTTGGATTTTATTTTTTTTTTTATTTACTATTATTAATTTTTTTAAAATAAATAGTTAAAAGATATTGTTTGTATTATGTAAATCATGCATTTTCCTTATCACTGTTCCAGCCTAGATAGGATGAAAAACTAATATTTCAGGCCTAATTGCTCAAAAGATAAATTTTATGAACCACAGTGTATAAAAACTGAAATCGTTTTATTGGTGATGTCATTGCTATAATACTAACAATGACATCAGTCTGTTCTTGCCAACTCTATGACCACATGACGTATGACCACAGAGTTCATTTTTCTTGACCTCGAGTTATAAATAATATCAAATAACAACTAGAAATTGCAAATTGCAAGTGAAGTGCTGCGAAGTACAACTGAAGTGAAAATAATGAATAATAAAAATATAACAAATAATATGAGCACGACCCATTGTCTTTATATTATTAGAACAGCGTTGGTACTGTGTACAATAGTGTTTTGCTGCAGTGACATCTCTCTGCTGGCAATGGCTCGCTGCTGCTGGTGATGACTCGCTGCTGGCGAATCGATCTGCACATGTATATAAAATGGTATTTATTTCCGCAAACACTATGCCAGTCTACAACAAGCGTCGCCTAAATGTAATAATTAGCACGTTGAAATAGGCTAGTAAATAAGTTTAACTGGGTTCGTAAATAATATTGTCCTCAAAATATTGTGGCTGAGACATGAGCCGATTAAACGTAGAAATAGGAAACCTAGAAATATAGTAAAAACGCTGAATATTACTCCAGCGTCGCGACATGCCGACGTTGGTATGAGTAGGTTAGTCAACAAACGTCGGTTAAAGTAATTGATTTTACCCGGCAGAACGAAAGAAGGAAACTCCGCTTTTCAGTTGTCTCAGGCGATTGATTTTTGACAAACAATGACCTTTTAGAGGTCAAACTGCTGTCAAGAATATAAATTGGCTGCTTCGCAGCAATGAAAGATCTATTTTAGGTGTATTATAAAACAAATATTTAATGTTTTGTATTCATGCAGTGGAAAGAATACTTTAATTTGTGGAAATATTTATGGTACATATTCAACTTAACTCTACCTAGAACGGAACAGTCGAACTTTCAAATCATGAAAACATTCTTCCCGCTCATAACTATTCATTATTCGTATAATAGTATACCTTGAGGCAGGTGGGACCATTTTCGTACAGCAAAGCACCAAGAGCTCTTAGGACATCATGTTTCATCCACTCTGGACTTCGACGAATCACCTCTATGACATATTCTACTACAGTTTCTATAGTGTGCGGTGTCAAAGTATTCTAGAAAAAAAAATATTTTAAAAATTTAAGTACTGTAAATGTTCAAATAAACACCTCTCTTTAATAAATAAATGGCGTTCTTGTATAAAAACTGCACCATAATTTCTAATATAAGTCAATCGTGACATCATCACTGCAACTCCCAATGTTATTTGCCTATCCCACAGTCCACTTTTTTCCACCAAATCTGAATGGTATTTTCTAAAAGATGGGACAAATATCGGTCTATGTAGCGATTTTTATCTTCATTATTCCAGGAGATTTAGCTTTGTAAAAACTGTACAAATTTAAAGGAGCAATTACCAGCATGAAAAAGGGGTACCTAAAATTCAAAAGGCCGTAACTTAAAATCCGCTTGGAAATTGGAGCTGAAATTTTGGATTCTTTCTTTTTACACATCAAAGTATTTTTAGAATTTTTTTTCAGGAAAATCCAAAAAGGGGGGGGGGGCAGGTTCACATGGGCATGGTAGTTGACCTAAGCCAGAATAACCCTTTAGCATACTTTACCTTCAGATGAGCCACAAAGACAACGAGCTGGCAAGCCTTGGCAACCAGAAGATCTTGACCAAGTGGCACTAGAACACATAATCTGCATAAGGTCTCATTGACATCCTAAAAAAATTACAGATTTAAAAAAAAATGATTGACTGAAATTATTGCCATTTCTTTGTATATTTATGTTAATTGCACTTCAATTCCAAAGCATCAAATTACAAATTAACAAGAAAAAAAAATATAAACAAAATTCAGTGTACTGTACAATTGAGTTGAGTTGAATACTTGGTGGTTAAGATGCTTGCCTTCCAATCCCAGGGTCCTGGGTTCAATTCCTGTCAGTGTTGCAGGATTTTTTCTCACGACCAAAACAACTCCACTCCCTAAATCCCATATTGAGATTTAGTGTGTAAAGCATCATGTGTGTATGTTTGTCTTGTGTAAGGGATTGTCACCTACAAGTAGGACAGTGATATTCGCTATTGACAATCCTTGGACATGTATTATTGTGTGCCTAAATAAATAATTTAAAAAAAAATAAAATAAAAAATAAAATGAGAAAGAATGCAGAGGATAACTTGCCCTGAGGCTTGTTTCTGTAGAGGTTCCCACCAATTAATAATTGAAAGTGGTATTAAAAAAGTGGACATTTTTTTCCCAGTACTTTTCGGATGATTAATGAGGGCATATTCCAAACCATAAATAATCATGAGAATGGAAACTTGAGTCATGGTGGTGGAATACATTTTTATATAAATTGTATTTAGGCCTAGGCCTAGGCCTATAGGCTATGCCTAGGTTATGTAAATTCTTCAAAATATGTTGTACATTACTATACTCTAGCTAGGCTAGGATTTGAAAAACTGGAAGAGCATGTGACATGTGAGAAAAAAACTGTTCGGGAGTCAGGTTACCAAAATGGGAATCTCCCGATCAAAAACGGGAATGTTGGCACGTATGCTACTCTAGCTCTGACATACAAGATCACTTCCTCATATTTACGCACACCACTGCATAAAAGCGCAAGAGATAAGCTTAGGCCTAGGTAGTGTCCAAAATTTCAGACCTCACTCACAAGGATAGGCCTGGCCCTAGGCTAGCCTACTAGCTAGTTCCAAAACAAACCTTATCTGGAATTGAACAGTGTGAGTAATTGATGGAGTTGAGAGTATCCAGAGTGCTGTTAACATCACTTTTAAAAGATTCATCTGTGGTTGGGACTAGCGATTGCAATTTTATCAAACAGCAACTAAAACGCTGCTGTTCTTCCCGACTGATTGCCGTCTCCATGATGAAGATTAAAAATTAAAGGGCGCCACTATGTGACACACTGGCTCAAAATACTATAGCGCGCCAAAAAGGACAAATCATAAACTTTCATTGATGGCCCGGATGTAGCAGGAATAACATACCTGTTTTCTGCAACAAACTGACGTTGAGGCATGTATTGTTTCAGAGATGGTAACTGGCATATAAGCCATACGGACGTCTTCCTTCTAGGGTTAAGACAGATCATGGCACTCAGGATAGGAAGAAAGTACCGTTTCGATTTTATTTGTATAATATTCAAATCAACCAACTTTATTTTTCATCATCATCATTATTTTACATGCATTGGGGATTGAAAACATGTTTATACAAATAATATTTTATCAATTACGTACAGTCACGGGCTAGACTGGATTACAGTCCCTAATTTTATCTTGATCAGTAAAAACTACTAAAAATAAATTCCCATCCAAATTTAACAACATAACAAAAAACACGCTTTTGGCGATCTTTGAAAATATTTACAGTAACACTCTACGAAAATATAATAAATTAAAAACGTGCCTAAAACGTCACTCTTGACAATCGAGCTGAATATGGTCCTTGATTCATGCAAAAGGCATGAATCGCCTATTAGTGACAGATATACTACTGTAGGGGAAGGGTTGTCTAAAAATTTGATGACGTAACCGTATTCGTTATGGTTTTCGTCGTAAGCTTTCAAAAACTCCCTAATGTTTCAAAATGAACACGTCTGCTAGCATTCTGTGTTAGATATATACCTCATACATATATGCACAATTATTTAATAACAACATTTAATTGGTCAGTAGGATATTGACTAGTTTCCTGCATGATGTGTATAAGCAGAAGCGGAGGAAAAAGCACTACCCAAAATCGATTACGGTATCTCATGGCTGGCTATACGAGAAATGCGTATACTTTCCACATGAGCAGTTAAATCAGCATGTAATGTACACTATTATTTGTTAATTCATGAGATATAATAAAAGTAATACACCATGATTTTATTTCAGTGTTGGATGATTGGGACTACTACCTTGCGTCTTTCTCTATGTTGAAATCTTCTTCATAAATATTCTACAAACACACGATGAAAGACTGTATATAGCTTAATATACTTAATCTAATGTCACTTATTTAGCAGACTTTTTGAAATATTACAAAACTTCCGTAGGTTGCTATGGGAATTTTGCCTAATTATAAGGATATACGGAAATAGACAATACCGTAATTTATCATAAACCTAGACCCATAAATAAATAGGTCAAGTCCTAAAAAAAGAAATTTTCCATCAGGATCGTTGGTTACATTGTCCCTATATGACAACCGTCAGATTAATGATAAATGATTGTGGAAAGAATGGCCCGTAAATTATCATCCTCAATCTTTAAAATTCCACAGTTGTTATTATCCTCAGTTGTACGTAATTTAAGCAACCCATATTTTGCACTTAAGACAAATTGTAGTGCTACGGATATTTTGTATTTACTTCGGATATTTTAGACTTGGCTACTGAAATGCATTTTACTAACTTGAAAAGTCTGATTTAGGTACAAAACAATAGAATCAGGAAGGGAGGCTGGCTACGTGAAGCGTCTGTACACACAGGCAGATATCAAGATTTATTAACATTTGTTTAGGTACAACTTCGATAGAATCAGGAAGGATGAAAAAGACTGATGTAACTCATGGTGCATTACATAATCATAGCACTTAGGCTACGTCCCACTTATGCATCTATGGATAGGACTTATAGGGTGTAGGGAGTTATATAATAATAGATATCTAAAGAAAACCTAGCATGCACCGATGAGATAATGAGCCACAGGTTGTTTTGATACTTTAAACGTATTTAAAACCATCAATCCAAAAAATAATATAAAAAAGGCTATGAAATTGGAACGGAAAATTTATCAAAACTACAAATCGTGTATATATTTTTACTCATGGTCAATTCATTATTTGCTGAAAATGAAAAAAAAAATCAAAGTGCTTTACCTAATATGGATCAAAATCGATAATTTATTTCGAGAGGCATCGCTTCAATAGTGACGTTGCAAATTGATAAAATACTCAGATTATGATTTCAGACTGAGATTTATTTGACATTCACTTTAAAAGGTGGCACACATTAAATATTGGTGCTTCCAGACTTGTACAATTATATTACGTAAAAGAGCAAAGCAAATATTTTATTAATTTATAAATTTAAATTCAGCGTTATTATGACTTGATGCGTATTTATTACGAGTTATATCAAATTAAGGTTTAGTAGCATAGAATAAATACCGTGATGATACCATAGTCAATTTTCTTAACATTAAAACTTAAGTTCGTCATCGTTTTTAACAACAATTTTATCAAATAATTACTATTCTTAATCCTTTCTCACAAATCTAGTTTTTCTAATCATTAACTCACGATTCGTAAACTTTCTCACATAGTACCACAAATGTTAAACTTGATACTGCTTAAAACGAAGGTACTTCTTTTGTATCATAATAATGCTATCATTCAGACTGCAAGGTGAGGACCCTAACAGAACATACAGGACATGGTATTAGTGAACGTATTCTGTGTCATTGACAATAAATGAGGGCGCTGCTGCGTTTTCTGTGGCTTCATCTGCCTCTTATCAACACTTGCTGTAGTTGCTTACTTTGCAACCACTAGAGTCGGTCAGACCATTTGTTTAAATTTACAATTCATTACACATGCAACAAAAACATGCTTAATTTTATGCAAGATAGTTAATATTTAACATTTAAATTATTATCAACAAGTGCCGCCTTCAATTGGCTGGCTTTAAGTATGTCATCACTGAAAAACGAGTGTTGACCATTCTACATTACCTTACCATACTCATTAATAATCGATCCATATTTTAATATTTTTCATCCACATTTTGTATGCCTGTCTGCTTGATTTCCTCTTCCTACAAAGATACCTTTACGCTGTGCTGTCTGCTGTTAACAGTGACGGCGCCAGAAGTTCCCAGAAAAGGGGTCTACGTCTTAAAGGGTTTCCAAGGTACCCGACGACAAATCCCTCAACCCAAGTTCCACGACACGGGTCCAAAATCACCTGTTTGGAGAAAATTTTGAAGAATAGGGTTCCTCTTCTAAGCGACTTTAGCAGTGTTCACCACCAAAATAATTAGTTCAGGGTTCCCCAGGGGTGATTGTAGTCCCTGGACACACTATCTGTAAATATTAAGTGATTGGCAGGAATCAATAACTCTTCATTACTGAAACAGCCTGTCCGACTTATTTTTATCATAGTTTATAAAAAACACCACTATATTCAAAGCAGATTCTCTCTGTAGCATCGGTTGTAATTGACCACGATTTACCTTGATCTAAACACTGATAATAACACGTACAATATTTCTTTATACTTTTTGGACAAGTTGATATAAACAGGTCTACTTCTTTGTTTCCATACAGAAACATTGTTTTAAATTTTACATTTTTACAAAGAAAAGTAATATTTTCAATTTAGTAATTAAAAATCTTAACTGACCTATCACCATGGTTTGTCAGAGCAACTCTTCTTGGATGATAGGAAATTATTGCTAGTCCCCATGGAAAATTTATTCCATCTTCTTGTGTATCAATTCGTTTGATAAACGTGCCATCACTATTGAATAGCTGTAATTTGTTTATACTTGATATTATGATGTTTCCATCATCATCTACAACCACTCCTCCAGGCTTCATTATTTTACCACTATCATCTCCTGGCCAAACAAGCACCTTGCTGAATTGTTCCTTATCAAATAATTCTAGCCTATTATGAATATGATTTAATAAAAGTAATTTTCCCTCCTTTGTAAATGTGACATCATTGTAACCATTATGGTAAACATTGGTTTTGTTGATCACCTCGGAGACAAATGTCACATTTTTATACATACTAAACTTGAAGGCACCCTTATTGAAAAAACTTGTAGCATAAACCTTTGTAAATGCCTCATTTACTTTGACTCCAGATGGCGCCTCCAAACATCCTTTTCCAACTGTCTTCTTTACCTGACCGTCCATCGTACATATTTTGATAGATTTGTAATTCCCATCATCACTGAATGCTAGTTGACCATTCTTCATTTTGTGCATTCTGTTGACACGTACGCCAGCTGGTAACGTTATCTTACCAATGTATTCTCCATTTTGCTTGTACTTGTAGATGTCATTTTTCCAATATGCAACTAATAAGCAGTTTTCTTTATTACACCATTCAACATCTGTAACCTTTTTACCTACTTTAATAGTGTTCACTAAACCTTCTTTTTCTACATTTATCATTATTGGAGAATGCTTGACTGGTTCACAATCAATACTAATATCTAGTCTGTATACACCAATACTTGTACACACTCCTTTAACAATATAATTACCATCATCATCTTCTTGAACTGGCGTCATGTTGGTTTCTCCTGTACATTCGACTGTCCATGTTGCTTCTAGTTGACTTGCATGTATTTCACATTTTTCTATTTTGACTAGTTTGACAGTAATTATTTGGTATTGTGTCGCACAAATATTTCTACTACAATTTACTTTTAAGCAATCTGCTATCTTCTCACTCACAATGCCAATTCCATGCCTTTTTAATGCAGTGATTTGATGTTTATTTTGAAAGAAGTGAATTTCTTGATTATTTTCGGTAGCTCCCTTGTTTATTTTACTGGGCAGTTCTTTGATTCTATCTTTCAATCCTGTAATAATTGCTTCACTTGATTGTGAAGATGTTGCTTCATCACTCCTTAAAAGCTGACTACTAACATTGAATTTTGTCTTTACGTCTGATATTGATGTTCTCAGGTCATGAATTTGGGCATCAATTTCACACTTTTTCTTTTCACGTTTCCTTTCTACTTTCTTTTTTAATTCTTGTCCTTTATCCTTGATTATCTGGAGCATTTCTTTTACATGATTGTCAATATCTCTCAAAATAGTATCATTATTTTCATCTAATTTGTTAACATTAAGATGCATTTTTGTTAATCCATCTTGTACTGTGGTTGTGTTATAATTGGCATTTTCCTCGATTTTGTTACCAGTCTGTTTAAATCCATTGAATTCTTTGGAACTATTATAAGCCTTATTACTCCCATTCGCTGCTTTGTGGTCAGTAATAGCACCAAGCGTACATCTTACAATTTTACAATATTTGCAAAAAAACTTCACTGGTTCATTGTGAAGAGAGTTACACTGGTGACGATGTAGTGAAAAAAACTCCAATGGCGTCATGGATCGCACATCTTCTGTTGGGTAAAGCATGTGATTTGTAAAAGCTCGAAATGTCTTATTGTGGTCAAAGCAAATGGAACATATGTACTGTCTACATTCCTGACAATAGTATGTTGCCTTCTTGTCAATTTCACAACTGCATTCACATTTATCTCTTTTATCCATCTCATCAATAGTTTGTAATAAGTTATTGACAAAGGTTTTTGGAGGAAGTTTCTCAAGCCCACCTTATGGAATTGGTTATAATTTTAAGCAAATTGGGCATATCAGCTCGCCCTTTGCCTCGACTCAGGTAGTACGAGACAGTTTAATGACTTAGAATGCTGGGGCTTTTTGAGGCAAATGGATCATTTCAATATCTTTCTCCTAGATCTTCTATATTTTTTTTCTTTCATCCAGGTTGATGATGTTATCCTTTAAAAAACAAATATATATTGTACTGATTTTAAGTGAAGTAAGCACGAATGTGTATATATTTTTTGTCATATTTATTAGACATGGTATAGTAATATTAGTTTTTTATGTCACGGCAGTATTGTACATGCCATTACAGCAACATCCAAAACAGTAATAACAGCAACAGTAAAAATAAATATGAATTAAATCTTTTGTGTTATTTTTAAAATGCGTTGTATTTTTTGTCAACTTACGTCCATTTGGTTCTATTATCAAGGATTTCAGTTCAAGAAGATTACCAGTTTCTTTATTAAGGAAATATGAAAAGATTACTCTTCGTTTGAACAAAGCCGAATTGGATTTTAATTTTTTACATAAATATGAATGAATGAAGAAATGAAATGAGTGAATGAGTGATTGATTGACCAGGGGTGGCGCCAGCAGTGGGCGGGGGGGGGGTTTAGCTGGCCCCGGCAGGGGTAAAAACCACAACTCGGAGAGAAAAAAAATATATGTATTTTCTACATATTAGTAGACTCTAAGATCGAATGATAAGCATTTGAAAGTCAGACTCCGGAGAAAAAAAACGAGCTACAGATTTTTGAATATTAAAAACTGGGGGGAAAAATGGCATTACCGACCATTTTTACACCTTTTTCCCCCAGTTTTTAAATATTCAAAAATCTGTATCTCATTCACCGTTGCTCAGTTTTTGATCAAACAACTTTTTTGTGTCTTAGAAAAATCAGTTCTACAACATATCAATTTTTTTCCCCTCCGGAGCCTGACTTTAAACCCCTGAATTGTCAAAATGGACCACTTTCGAAACATTTTAAGTGACGCTTGACCACGCCCACTTTGCTCTCGTCAGGAAATCTTCCCCCTCGTAGGGGTCATCGGCCCTTGTCATGAATCTCGGACACACCCCCACCCCCACCCGCGTCGGCCAATTCCAGGCTTCACCTTTGTGAATGAGTGAATAAGTGAAGGAGAGAATGAGTGAAAGAATGAATAAACAAATGAATGAATCTATGTATATATAGGCCTATTACGATTATACATTATTATATGTCATTATATGTAATTATAATAATTATATATATATATATATATATACATATATATATATATGACATATAATATAATATAACATATTTATAGATTATAAATAATTTATTATTGCCTGAATATGATATGTCTTTTGCACCTAGTTATTCCACTGATAGCACGAGACATAGAAATGTCGGTAGATGTTTCATTTACATTTTAACCTCTCCAGTTGGTCTCTCTTATACGATGCAGCAACTTTACATATTCTATTTATAACTTGTTTTTGTATTTGAATGAGCAAGAATATATTATATACTGTATTAATATATATATTATATATATTATTATATATTATATATATTATTATATATAATACATACTTGAATAAACTGACCAAGAAAAGGCTGAGGTCTTTCAGAATCGGTTTTATGTGCAGGAATGTAAAGAACTGAGGGAATCAAGGCAGATGAAAAGGAAATTAAGAGGGTACATGAAACTCCTACAGGCTCGTATTTAAAACCATCAAATGAAACTCTATGCCAATATCTGAACTCATGCAACATTTTAAAGCACACTTCTACTTCGACCAAAGCAATCCCCATCACCTATGCCAAATGAACTCAGAAACCCACCCAAATTCATCACATGACTTAAGACCTGTTGGAGATTATGTCTCCATCGATCAAGAACCGCAATGTGGGAGCGGTTGGCGCATCGGTTGTGGCTTGGACTCCCAACCTCGAGGTCGGGGGTTCGAAACTCCCGTTGTGCAAATCACTTGTGTCCTTGGGTAAAGCACTTTATCTACAACGGTTGCTTCTCTCCACCCAGGAGTACAAGTGGGTACTGCGCTGATTACTAGCTGCAATATTATGGAATTCTCCCCAGGGAGCTGAGTATGTGTTCCATATGTGTTTGATCCAATGACCGGGGTAGTAATGTGAAGCGCTTAGAAGCATTGTGCATGAAGCGCTATATAAGAGCGACATATTATTATTATTATTAATGTGCTAAAGAAATATTCAGAATTTAATCAGGTCCAAGAACATAGCAGCCTGATTTGCTGGTTTTTAAATTTTGTAATGCGGGTTTATGAGAACAGATTTGAAGAGAACAACAGCACTCCACCGTACCTAAATTCAATTACCGAATCCCTACAGCAGCAACTGATCGGTCTCAGAGGTCAGAATTTCCAACCACGGGTGCTGCCATTCGACCTGCACTTGCTATGCTGATGACACAACACTCTCTGCCTCTAGCACTGAAGACCTTCAGAAATGTTTACAAATTATTGATCAATTCTATAAGGAATTCCATCTAACAATGAATGTTGAAAAGACAGAGTCAATGATTTTTTTTTTGAATTTCCGAAGTAAGGAAATTGAATATCCGAAATCCATAATAAAGCTTGGAGAAACCACGTGAGGTTAACACTGTGAAAGGTTTAGAATTATAGGCAGCATGATTAATTATAAGGAAATTGGCACAGGCAATGCTGAACTGAACTCGCCTATTCAAAATGCAAAGGCAAAGTTGCCGATTACAAGCAACTCTTGACGAACTAAACCATCAGACTTAATGTTAGGATGGCCTATACTATAACGTGTTTAAAGGATCCAGGTTAACATATGCATTTTAAACATGGCACTTTACATTGGCCCAGTTCAACAAAATAGATGCAGCACACAGAAATATGCTTCGTAATATGATCTTTGATGGGGAAAAGAGGTTTGATGAAAATGAAGAAGAAAATTAAATTATGAAAATTGTTAGAAATCTGCAAATCTGACAACTAATCAGCTTAAGTTAAGAGGCAACAGGTCAAATTTGCTGCTCACATTGTGAGACAGCCCAACTCTAGCGAAACAAAGCAACTATTATTTAATGACAAAAACGTTAAACAGGACACTTGTACCAAATCTAATCAGAATACCAGCTACTAATTGCGGATTATCCAATACTGACCACTTCGCTAGGGAATCCAGTGTTGGAGAATTTCTGTTATCTGGTTATCTGCGATAATTCACCAGAAAGACAACCATCGAAAATTTGCCATATGAACAAATGTGATGAAGAAACCTAAGTGAATATTTGAGTAATAAATAAATAAGAAGCGAGGTTCAACATTACATTTTATTTATACCTATAATAGTTTCGTGCCACATACATAGTATGGGACACTCTTCAGATAGAATTGCCTACTGACTAAGAAATATGAAGATACAATTGAATAAAATAAGATACGCATGCGCAGAAAGTAAGAGCAGTATTTCAAAAGAATTAATTAGTAGGGGGCTTGTTTAAGGTCTAATAAACAATAGAAGGGATTCAAGTGATAAATATAAGTTAATTTGCAATGAAATATAACTATGCGCTTTACATTCTGGTATAGAAATAAAACAACAACAAGAAAAACTTACAAGCCATCATATACCTCCCCTTTTGCGTAGTAGTTAAGATGCTTGCCTTCCAATCCCAGGGTCATGGGTTCAAGTCCTGTCAGTGTTGCAAGATTATTTTAACCTCATATTGAGATTTAGTTTGTATAAAGCATCATGTGTGTATGCTTTTTTTGTGAAGGGGATTTTCACCTCCAAAGTAAGACAGTGATAATATTCGCTATTGACAATCCTTGGTGCAGTGTTGTGTGCCTAAATAAAATAATAAAAAATAAAAATAATAATAATAATAATAACACTGCTATGTAAAGATCGTAATAAACTATAACAATTTAACGTCCTATGACGACATTGTACTTCGAACACTCTTTGTTATTCCAAGGGTAAACCAATTCACTTTGTATTTATTTGCCTTGTGTTGCCGAATTGAATAAAATAAAATAAAATCAATAGGCTTATTTCACAACTTCAACTAGGCCTACCTTTATTAAGAAATTAAGGAATAGTTTAATATTGACGTAGTACTTACTGTGATACCTTGAAGTAGAAAAAGGCAGAAGTTAGTATTACATGTTCAATAAACGTAATGCAAGCTGAACAGTCACGAACAGTTTTATTAAAACACATAAAGGGGAATTTCCAGTCTTCGTCATGTGAAATGGAATATGATCAAAGTCCCACAGGATATAAATTGGCTAAGGACAGATTTGCAATCGTGATGGGATGTTTCGCCGAGTGCCAATTCGCCAACAGGCATTTCGCTGCCAGACAATTGACAGAACTGCCGACAGGTTTTTGGCTTACAAGACATTCACCGACAAGACATTTTGACGAAAACTAATTCTCCGACAGCCAATTTGGTGAAAGACAATTCGCCGAAAGCCAGTTCGCCGACAGCCAGATCACCGACAGCCAATTCCCCACAGTTATTTTGATTGTAGTAAAGACAGTACTTTTTAGTTGATCATTCACCGAAAAAAGGGCGTTTTCGTGACAGGAAATTTAAAATTCTGTGGATTTGTGAAAATTGTTGGCGCTTTCTTTAGGGCCGGCGGAACGTCTTTCAAAGTGGCGGGGGTGGGGGAGGGGCTCACTAGCATAAAGTGGGAGGGGAAATCTGTATAGACATACTTTATTTAATAATAATAATAATTCTAAAATATCAAGTATTATGCATTGCACTATAAATTCACCTGGGTTGACATAACGAACTAGTAAAAAATAACACTTTTTAAAATTATTTACATTTAAAAATTATTAGACATTATTCACTTAAACAATAGACCAAATAAGGCCTATATATTTTAATTTTATTTTGCTTATATATATTTTCATATTGATGTTAACATCTGTTTAAACAATGGTCTTGCACAATAGAATACAATTAAAAGTAATGTTACACAAACACCGTCCATATAACAATACAATTCAAATTATACACAATAATATTATTTTAAATAGTCACATATCGAACATAATCAATAATACACATAATATTACTGGTCAGTACGATATTTTCGACTACTCCCCTACATGTGCATATTTAAGAATACGCGGTTGTGGGGGTACTACCCATTTCATGCCTGGCTACGTGAAGCGTATGCTAACCCTACACATGAGCAGAATCAAGATTCAATGTACACTGTTATCTAATTACTATTCATGAGTCCGCGGGTGGGGGGAGGGAAGGGAGGGGAGTACTACCCATTTGTGCCTGGCTACGTGAAGCGTTTGCAAACTGTATTACATGAGCAGAATCAAGATTCAATGTACACTGTTATCTAATCACTATTCATGAGATATAGTAAAACAAATACAACATGATTTTATTTCAGTGTTGGATGATTGGGACGCGTATTTCTCTATGTTGAAATATTATATAAACGCACGCAACAAAAAAATGTATGGCTTAATATTTTATAATAGTTCATTAAAATCTACAGTGTCACACAACAAATCCATCCTTATATTCCTAGGAGGTTTCGGAGATCTAGTGCAGAGTCTCTACTTGCTCATTGTATTCCTTCGTTAACAAAGCATTATGGCAATCGTTCTTTTTCTTGGGCTTCTGTCTTTCTTGCTTTGCCTATTACAAACCGACAGACAACTTCCATTGTTGATTTTAAGGCAGCTTTAAAAACTCACCCTTTTAACGTGTATTTTTTTAAATGTTTTTCTCCTGGCATTTTATTGTTAAGCGCATTAAGGCTTTGGTATAATGCGCTATATATGCCAAAAATATTATTATCATTATGTACAAAATAATAGAATCAGAAATGGTATTATACACTGAAATGTAACTCAATGTTCATTACATAATCACAGTATGGCACTTAGGCTGTGTGTCTTATGCATATGGATAGAGGATTCCGTGTATAGGAAGACGATTTTCTACTACTACTTTTTTTTACTACTTACCATTCACAGTTTACAGAATAACTATTTACATTGTAAGTTTGGTTTAGGATAGTCAAGTGAAGATAACATATCAATCAAGACAACTCGAATTGAGACTAGATTCGGCCAGTCCATTGGTTTAGATGTAATGTACGAAATACAGTATTACAATATGTAACAAAAACATGCTTACGTTATACTAAATAGTTAATATTATTATTTAAAATTATTATTTTGAAAAAATAGTGAAGTCTTCAATCAGTTGATTGCAGTGTGCCACCACTGCTAATGAGTTTTGGCCATTTTACATTATCTTACCATTCTCATTAATAATCGAACTATATCAGGTTCTGGTTCTGGTTGGTACAGTCGACGTCCTACAAAGGACTCCAAAAGTTTAGGAGTATAAAAGATGGGGTAGAAATAGAGTCAAATGATAGGGAAGGTCCACCACCGCAGTTTAAGACTCGTAGCGTCAGTCATAAGCAGGATTGCTTTACCGCCTCAGGCCACATTGGACCTGATAGGTAGGACACTTGCGGTACAATATTTAAGCGAAAATTACTCCTTCAGAAAAGGATGCAAGAAAAATAGGATGTTAGTGCAGTACAAGTTAAAATACAATAAATTAAGAAAACGATATAAACCGACCAACACACTCCGAAAGTTGATAATTACACAAAAGGATCTTGTAGCCAAAAAAAGGAGTTGTCAGGCCTGTCTATCACATTCAAGGTGAATCGTGTGACTTAAACTATGTAGGAGAAACTGAACGTTCTCTTAAGTCACAGTTTATGGAGCATCTTCGTCAAAGCACAGTTCGTTTGTCTATAGTTTCAAAACACATTAATACGGAAAAGCTGGACCTGGCATTGTCCTGGATAAGACTAAGATCTTAAAAGTGTAATAAAATGGTTTGAACGTGGTGGGGGGTGGGGATAACGAATCAATCTTTATAAAATTAACAAGCCCGACGCTGATCAGAGATGCAGGTAGATTTAATCTACCCGCCGTTTGGAATAACATCATTAAAGAGCAGAAGGAGGCGAGAGGGCCTAAAGCCCACTGAGGGAACCGCTCTGACATCATAATAAGATCAGATGACGTCATGTCATGTTGTGCTCTGGTTAACAGTGAGAGCGTTAAAAGTTTCCAGACCAGAGGTTCAAGACCGAAAGGGGGTTCAAGGTACCCGACAAAAGATCCAAGTTACCCGACCCAATTGCGTTCACGACGGGGGTCCAAATCCGCCTCAGCGTTAATCAGTCCGTGTTAGGAGAATAATTTTAAGAATAGGCACCTCTGAGTGACTCTTTAAAAATACTTCTATAAAGCACTGTTTCTTGACGAAATTATTAGCTTCTTCCTTGACAGACGGTTCAGGGTTCCATAAGTGTG